TGAAAAATCTTATATAAAACGCCCTCGAGAATCTGTTTAGTGACTGATTTGTAAGTATGTAGTATACTTTATTTAATTTTTTTTACCAAAATATAAAAAGTATAATCGTATATAATATTAATTACAAAAAGTATTCTCTATTTCAACCATAGATTAAGGTATACTTTTCTCGGGGAAGTCTTACTTACAGAATCGCACTAGGATTTTCTACGCGATTTTTTTTTCTATGTATTGAATTTTATTTTCCTATTTTTTTTTTTCTGTACTGTGTACAAGTCGCTTCATACAGTTTGTTTTAATTGTTACTTTGACAAATGCCGTGGTAAAGTGTAAATTGCTTTGTGTAAATGATACCGGTTCAATTTCCAGTCCCTGAAACTCGACCCGAGCTGACTCAAAAAAGGATCTTTTCTGATTTGGCTCGGGTATAGGCGTAATTCAATTAAATTGTGCTCTCAGATATTGAATGATTAAATGATAACTTTATTAACTTTTATTCGTGACCTAGTTTCTCATAAAACATTTATTCTATCTTGTATCCTATCTTGAACACTACGAAATTATTATTATTATATATACATTATTATAGTGCAAAAAAAGTCGTGCGATTGTTTCAAGTATTAGGTACCTAAGAAACCATTGTTTTAATACTTCTGCACTTATTGGAACACCTAAAATTATATTTACACGTACAACGACGTCTATCACTCCAGATATTTATTTGTTTTGTGTAAGTATAATCACGTATTTACGTGTCCAATTCAGACGATGTATAGATACAGTGTTACTTGATGCTAAACTTTATTTCCATAAAGGAAGTAATAGTCGATAGGAGTCATAAATTAAATTGTATAACATAAAAATTTTAAATCTTATTAACTATTATACCTATATAAGATTAAGTTGTTACATACTTATCTACTTATACCATTTATTTCATACTAACTTAAGCTTGCTATTTCGTACGTGTGATGGATTTTAAAAATAGAAAAATCAATAAAATAAACCATTTTAGATAGCGTATCAAGATAAAACATACACTAGTTTTCAAATTAGACATTCAGGAAAACTATGAAAACTGGATCCAATTTCATCCAGCAGTTTTTGCGTTATGCCAGAACAACCATACAGAGAGTCAGATAGACTAAATGTCTAAAAACTATTTTTGGCTTCTATCGATCTCATTAAGACCCTTTATACCATTTTTTTTTAATATCTTTTATGTACAGAAATCGTCTAGTTACAATTTTATTATATTAGTAAGATTTTTCAACTATGTATTTTTAACAATGTTATTATTTATTTTGCTTCGACATAACACCTTTACCACTTTATCACCGACAAACGACGATTTGAAATACTGAATTTTGTCCAAATGCTTCATTTCTCATATTAACTTAAATCACGGCAATGACATCACTTTTAAAGAGTTCTACAAAGTGACTATATATTTATACTATATCGCTATAACAAAAATAGCAAATTGCTAAAAAGTCATAGTATCGAAACGCGCGATTTAGATACAACGATCTGTAAGACACGATGCAATATTTATGCCAGCGGTTTAAATTGCTACTTACCCACTCTAATAGAATCGTGTCTGTTTAAGGATTAGCCCGTAACAACCGGCTCTATTATGACACGTGCGCCGGGTTGTCTCGGCCCATATTCCTTTATAGCGGAAGTGGGGCCGATGGCCAGGGCGGGCGTGACCACGGTGACTCCGTACTGCACCGGCGCTCATCACAGATGATTATATGGTCATAATGTTCTTATTCAAAATAACGTGCCTATCTAGGGTTGACACTCGGGTTGTGATCATATTGCATGTAAAGCGTAATGTAAAATATTTAAAATGGTAACTTCCTTGGTTGGTTTTTAGTTGTAATTAACAAGTTATAGGTATATATTTAGTTACTAAATTGAACTATTTTACGGAACATCGCCTATATTGTTTTAAAGAAACGCTCACATACCAAAAGTAAAATGTTTGTTTGGAGTATTCTGATTTGTTCTTAAGGTGTAGTATTTAGGATAGAAAAGGACATACTTCTCCTAACGTATACCGTCCTTGCAAACGGGATTACCGTACCATTATCAAAAAAACATGTCCATTAAATAAACTGTCCAGCAAATAAATTGAAATGTTTACTCCAGATAAATCTGGAAAGGAAAACCTCAGATAATAAAATCTCCAACAATAAATAATTCTATTGTAATCATATAATATATAATAAACATTATGTGTATATTTGTTTATTATGTTTATGTACACTGTCATTTACTTGATCATTATGAAATATTTCATTTATAAAATTACAGTATACCGATTTGTTTCCATCGGTTGCCACAGGAATGAGGTAGGTACCTACTACCTACCAAGTGGCACTTGAATCAGCAATAACTGGGTGGCTCGACTTCATCATTATAGATATCTGCTTTAGACAAAACAGCATATAATCAGTATCACTTACATTATTAGAAGAACAACAGTAAATTTCTTAGAAATCTAGCTGTAAAATTCTCGGAGCCGAGTCTGTCTTGTCTTGAAAGTCTCACAGGTTCTAATCAATGTCGTAGACACTTATTTTAGATAATATTTACTACAAATATAAATGAAATATTTTAAAATGAATTGCTGAAGATGACATTTCTTTAAATTGGTTTATACATTTTACTAAATAAATAGATCTCATGATGACTCGACAGTATAAGACTTATTTGAGTAAGTCTGAAGTTTTTTAAACCTTCTAAGACGCAGATTACAGTCTCATTAATTTGCTGCCGAAATAATGTTGATAAAAATATTTTTTTTCACTAGCTTTCATTTTTAAACTTGATTTAAAAGTCTTTCCATCCAAGCAATGTATTCGTCGATTGCTTACTGGCATTCGATTGAGTTGAAAATATATAAGTTTGGTGACAATACAAAAAGCTGATCTGATAATGAAGACTACAGATAACCATTCCTAAACTACATATTATACACCCATGCTGGTTTGAATTTTTTGCTGTTTAGTTCAATTTTATAAATAAACACTTGTTTATAAAAACTAACAATAATTTTATTTTGCGTTTCGTTAAGTAGGTACTAAGGCATATTAAAATATGAGCTATATTATATTTGGGATGGCCCTATTAAAACTGCACTGTAAATTACACAGTGAACACGCTATAAACCTATTAAAACATCAGTGGAATTAGCATCGTGCGTGCCCGAACACGTACGAGTACCAATATGAGAAATATTTAATCTTTGTTTCCACCTTATAACGCGTGGGTAGATTAGAATTGAATTATAAAAGCAATGCCGCACACAAGTGTTGCAATACAGCGTATTTTATGTAAAATGACATACCGTTTATTCTAATTGTATTTGTTCAGTAAAACGTTTTATAACTGCTATTATTCAAATAAGAGCGTAGTATTCCGAAGTACAAAACAAGTAAAAATCATTTTGAAAGAATATGAAACGAAAAATTTCAATACCAGCTCGTTCGATAAATATTTTTACTAATCGTTTCTCTTGAAGATTCTATAAACTTTTATATCTTTATTTGAAAACCTACTGTTACCTTTTTGTTTCCAGTGAATTCTCTGTCAATATTATTATTATTTTTGTTATTTTTATACATAATATCATTATGATGGGAAACGCGCAAGCAAATTACCTAATGGCCAGTCTGATGCCAGACATTGGATAATAGTCTTCGATGTATTTTTGAATATCATAATATGTTGTGAAAGAGGCAATAAATACAAAAATAACAGTTTGGATTGAGTATAGAAGATTTCCACAATAATTATTGGTGTTATGTTATAGGTCCTATCCTATGTAGTACTAGATGAGTCTCTCATGAAATTTTATACATCTTGTAAAGATCACTAAACTGCATTTTGATTTATAGCAATGTTATGATACTACTACGGACAAATGGATAGATAGCCGAAACAACATATGTACATAAAAATGAATTTACTTTGTCAACACACCATGTGTTATAGTTAGATAAGTCATTAAAACCGTAAAAAAGTATTTATAAAACCATTTTCAGATTCAACAAAATACATTTGATTTTATTCATAAAACTTCTTTTTTTTTATAAGTATTACATATCATTCTACACAATTCTTTTAGAGTAAATACTACCATAATAACAACACCATGTTACAACACAGAGTACCTATAGGGGCACAGTTCTACGTATTTCAAATGGATCTAATGTCGCACAATAGCCGAATAATACGTAGGTACAAACCAAACTAAGCTTAAATGATTTATTAGCGGATACGACCAGTTTGGACGGCAACGGCGGCTGATTGACCGACATTTTTCCAGGCCATATTACGGATAAGCATATACTGAACATATCATTTGGTCTTTCAGGTTTCGTTATATTATTTAATCTTTTATTTACAACTTAGTTAGTCATTAAAATCTTTTTTTAAGGATTAAAATGGAATTGTAGCTCTGTATGCGTGCGGAGCACCAGTGAGTGATGAGATAGGTGAGGATGAAAGCAGATCAGTTAGCGCATAGTGACAAATACAAAAAAAAAATATCCAAAATGATTTATGACCAGGGGGAATCGCATGGAGGTCGAACTGATAGACCCCACTACTAACAATCCTAGTAATGGGGCTTTCCCCTAATTACTATCATTATCGTATAATCAAATAAATAAATATTTTTTATAGATTTTTAGTAGTTTTTGGTTAAATGAATTATTAAAATCCTCCAAATTATTTAGAATAAATACAATAAATTCCGGTCTTACATAAGTATGCTGTAATACATATAGACACTTAGAATAATTATCATATTTATCTTTCGTTTTATAAAGATATGTTTATTTAAAAAAAAAATGAAGGTGACTATAATCAATTCGATCGTATCTATTTGTATGTTTCGTTACTTCTAAATCGATTTTGATAATTTTATTTTAAATCGGAAAATTGAATTCGATTTTATTATTCATTAAAATATTGTTTGTTTACAGGTACCTCGTGAAAGTTTCAAGCATATAGTAAAGGCGTGTGAATGCCCTCTCTACTGGAAGATGCCTCTGTTTCTGGCCACACAACAGAGTCTCCACGCGCCTGTGGATGGCCACAAATTCATTGACTTTTGGAGAGAGTAAGTATTTGATACTGTACTTTATTTTTCCCTTGAGAGAGAAAACGTTAGTACGTATTTCTTTCGACAATCAGCTGTATGGCACTAAAATTATTTGGCAAGGTGGCATAACACCTTATTGCTCAGGAAGTAAACGTTTCACTGCCTCTTCCCCTAAAGTCATTTGCAATATTTGAATAAAATATATATTTTGTTCAATATATATATATATATAATATTTGATTTTTTCTATCCATCTAAGCATTAAGGTTTTCTCATTTAAAGACTATATTGTATGTTTTATCCAGTATGCCATCTAGAAGTAATTTAATTTTTTAGTTTTACTACTTTAAAATATAAAGCGCGTCATTTTTCAGTGTTGTAAAAGCACTCTACCTATCTACATAGTCTTAAGCTATATAAGGGGTGCCGCTTAGGGTGTCGTTATCGCTAAATAGAGAATTATACCAGCATTTACTGGAGACTTTTTCCGAGACTGGGATATATTCAATGACAGGGATAAAAGTAGTCTAATAGCCTTTCTACATCTTAAATATTACTATATTTAGGTATTTATAACAAATTTCATAACTGGGATGCAACATGACGGCTATATAAAATAAATACATAAATTTACAAAAAATATTTTATTGTTTTTGTCACTTTGTGACTTCCACTTTTATAATATTCATATAAAACAGTCGACATTACTAACATGTATAATATAATATTACTTATGACTGAAAGTTTCATAAAATATTAGACTTTAAGAGTAATTTACACTAGGAATCTCCATCCACAAATAAATTCGACCCCAGAGACTTTTTTTTATACCACTGAGGTGGCAAACAAGCATACGGCCCACCTGATGGTAAGTGGTTACCGTAGCCTACTAAGTAATGAGATACGATAACTATGAAACTGTTATATAATTGTACTCTTAAATACTATTAAATAACTAAAGGTGCATGCAATGCGATGCACATCTTCACTGACTGGATATAATTAAACCACAGAGCAAAGAGTTATATTAACGATGACAGCATAAAGAATTTATACAACCATCTTAAAGTATTAACACAATAAATTAAATTAATATTCATAATGTTGTACAACTATTTAAGCACATTTAAATATCGGTATTAATGGATACAATAAAAGACTATTAGAAGATTAGCTACTTTATAGTGAAATTTTTTAAATTGGTTACATAAACTTCATACAAAACAAGTAGCTTTATAGTCACTTCGAACAAAATAAGTTTTGTAAAAAATATTATTCCTATAATCCTATATTATATAAAAATCCTATAATATAAAAAACATATAGGATTATTCCTATATTTTTTTAATGTATGATAATGGAATGGTAACTCTGCCTGAGCTAACGGTATATTCTGACAGGGCACCAATGAGGAATGATAAGTGAGAATGAAAAAGCAGGTCAGTCAGCCCAGCGTGATGAATACACCTGGAATTCAGCATAGTATTTCAAGGGATCATTCATCCAGGGGAGACCACGTAAAGGCCAACCAGGGTTTATCGCTAACAATGGAACTGGTCCGCATAATTTCCGCATAACTAATAATCCCTTCCCCTCCCCCTATATTATGGCTGTATATCTTCCATATTATATTTTGTAAATGGCTTTATTTAGACCCCTAAAACAACAGTCTATGATTATGGTAAGCAACCTAGTTAGTAGACAAACTAATTGCTAATGTTTTTGCTCATTATTATGTAAATATAATAAATGAACGTTCATAACATTTCAGGATGACCTCCCAATGTCACGATCAGGCGTCCCGTTTCGTGTACATTCTAACGAGGGGGAAGAGCAACACATTGGCTCCAGAAGATTTCGTGCCTCTAGTTCAAGACGTGGTAGATACACATCCCGGCCTCTCCTTCTTAAAGGAAGCCACTGAGTTCCACTCAAGATACGTACATACTGTGAGTTCATCAATTCTTTTTTCTTTTTTGTTTAATACATTATATTTTTTAATATATATTACTACATTTCGTGTGAGTAACCGAATACGTATTTTAGAATTCAACAAATATCTCAAAATCACCATTACCTGTTTATTTTGTCTTAGAACTAATAAGTATGTTAATTTTATTATTAATATGAAATAATCTGAATTATTTACAGAACTCAAAAACAATTATAATAACAATTGAAAATGTAATATTCAAATACCAGCACAATTTGATTTAAAATCTTTCACAACTAAGTAGTTTCCGAGAACTGTCATTGTTATTCGAAACTAAAACAATACGTGACATTTATCCCGATGTACGGCTTTATTAACTCAGACATATTTAGCCGATATAGCTTTAATACGATAACAGAATCGCTTGCTCAGATTTTGGTCCCATGGGAAATTCCACTGGTGTTTATTAAGTGCTATGAATGAATGAGAGTGTTCGAGAATATTTATTGAAACATTTTTAATATCTGCCATATTTTGGCTAAGGGATACATTTACATAGTTTCTTTTTTTGTATAGTTCATACCTATTAAGCGCTAAATTTATTCCTATCCTTTCTTTTCTGCTTTTTTTTTTTGGTTTGGACTCTCTCCCTTCCGCCCGTTGCGATCTGACCTTACTCCCCTCTCAAATACGTGTCAACGTTTAAACTGTATTTTCCCGCGCTAATCGCAACTACACACACGCACACATTGTCACATGTACAACCATTACTTTTTCTATACTTGCGACAAACACGTTTTTGTATGAAGTAGCCGGAATATGGTAGGGTTTTAGGATAGAACTGTACAAACAATATAAAATAACATAATATATTTTATACATAATATAATTTCGTCGAAATCGATTTAGTGGTTTCGGAGATTAACGTGAATGAACGCCGTGATACGTGATTTAAATTTTTCTTCTCTCATTGAAGGTAAATTACCTTCAATAGTTACTATGACGGTGTATTATTGTATGTTAAGTTTAAATAAAAATATATTGTTTCTATAAGATAATGTAAACGTTGTAATTATATAATATGGGCGGGAAAAATACTTATTCACACCGTTAGTATTGTTATCCAAATGACCTACTACTACTGTAAGCAAATACAAAACAAATATTGCCTACATAAGACTATTTATTTATACTACATACATAGATTGTAGCAACCTAGAATGGAAAACAGGATGAAGCCCAACCTGATAGAAAGTGGTAACAGTCAATTATAGACATACGTCTTTAAATACACTATCGGGACTTGACGGGTTGAACAATGTTTGCATGTAAATAATACCTATATATATTTGTTTTTTTATTACCGACGTTTCGGCATAGATTGCACCGTCGTGGTCACAACAGGATAAGATTTTAAATTAACTATACCATACGTCACCATAGATATCGCTGAATACACTGTGATATCTGTACTTAGTACTCTTCATACTTTGCTATTTAATCCTTCTTATCCATTGTTTTAAGTAGTAAACTGTTTATTTTTTTTAATATATAATTTGCCTAATTTAATATTAAAATATAGTATATATTATTTATAAAAAAATATCTCAAACATTTCAGGTGATCGCTAGGATATTTTACTGTGTGAACCGCTCGTGGTCCGGTAGGATTTCGATTGCGGAACTTAGAAGATCTAATTTACTTCAAGTCATACAGTTGCTTGAAGATGAGGAAGACATCAATCAAGTTACACAATACTTTAGGTGAGTTTGACGTTGAAAATTAAACTATTGGTGAAACAAGAAACGTTCAAGTATTTAAGAGAAAATAAACGATAAAGTAAACCGACGATAAATGAGGGCAAAATATTCTATGGAGACTACTCCATATAAGCAAATGTAGTATAAACAGATTTCCACAAGATGGGCCGATGACCTCAATGGAAATATATTACATAGAGTCAGTGGAAACCTATGTTTAGCAAAGGACAATTAACGTCTGAGACAATCATGATAATATAATAATTCTCATTGATTTAATGTATATTAGGAAATTACAATTATGCATATTATTGTAAATTACAACTAGGTAAACTGCAATTTAACATCTATTACCTTGGTTTTGTAATACAAATATAGAATTCAAGTTTAGTGACCATGAAATTCCTCAGGGAGCTAAATAGATAAAATGGAAAAATATTCCGGTATAAAAGCTGATATGATGATATAAAAATAAACAAAAATATACTTTTATAGAAAATTGCCATATATAAAATTGTTAATCACAGCCAATTTCAGAGGGCTTATTAAAATTTCAAACTACGCAATAAAATGTTTCCCGCAATATTGCCACAACTGGTTCAGCGAACGCTTGATTCAATTGAAGATACAAATCAGCATTTTATTAACAAAAAAATCTTTATTTTAATTATTTTTAGTTAGATTAGAAAGGAAATGCCTTTAAGAAATAAATAATGCTACTTTAGTTAGTATGGGCTGTCAGGATATGGTAGATCCTTAGATTGTAGGTAGATCGTGTACCGCTAAAGAGTATAGTGTCTGTGCAACTAGTGTGCATGTATGAAAACATAGACTTATTATAACGTACTACGATATGAAACAAGTTATTGGAGTGGGTGAAGCAAAAGAAGTTTGTAAAACGCCTTTGACAGTCGACTCTCCACATAGCTCGTAAGTGACCTACTCTATAAATACTTATTAATAAGTTTTTTTTTTCAGTTATGAACATTTCTACGTCATATACTGCAAATTCTGGGAACTGGACAGGGATCACGACTTGTTCATAGACAGGCACGACCTAGCCAGGCACAACGATCACGGTAAGTCTTCATATACTTACCACATATTTAACATATATTTACATAAACGATCGCCCTTCATTATATTATTCATTAGGTACTTAATCCTATAACTAAAAAACAGTACCGTTCTATCAACTTACATTAAAAAAAATTTAATTTAAATGTAGAATAATCGTTATTATTATTTAATATTATAAATGTAAAAGTGAGTTTGTTTGTTTGTGGGTAAAAAAATTATTTTGACGCCATAACGGTTTAAACATTTTTCATAAAATTTACGGAAGTACGTTATCGGATGGAAAAGGAAATAGGTTATTATTTATCACAGGAAATCAATATATCTTGGACATGTGGACAAAGCCACGGGTTAAAGCTAGTTATAATATAAATATACCTTCCCGTTTCAGCTCTATCGAGCCGCATGATCGAACGGGTGTTATCTGGTTGCGTGACGCGCGGTAACCAGAACCGACTGACGCCTGACGGAGAGCCAAGAATGTCCTACACAGAGTTCGTATGGTTCCTGCTCGCTGAAGAGGATAAAACGCACCCCACCGCTATTGAATATTGGTTCAGGTCAGTTGACATCTGTATTTTAGTGATTCTGTGATAGTGATAATAAATCAGTTGATGGCCTGCCTGATGGAAAGTGTAACCGTCGCCTATAAACATGAATAGCTCCATATGAAAACACTGTAACGGTCCTGTAAACTGCCCCCTTAGTTCTTAAGTTTTTTTAAAAAGTTTTATATAATGTTCGATACCCTTCTTATATACAAAGTAGGCCTCGATCAGATTAAGTAATTGCGCACTGTAAGTACTTAGGTCGGCAAATACTAAAATCAATAGGCTGTATATATATGTACATAGAAATATTAATATATACGGAATGAAATACGAGTATATATATATATAACAAAATATAAAATCAATTTAAAAAATAACATGAAATTTTGAGCGTTTCATACCAATTCAATAATAATACTACCATAAAGTAGTATTATTGCTTACACAGGTATAAATTATAGTATTTTATTTGTACGATAGTTGGGCACTCTACTTTGATGACACTGCCTTGAAAGATGCTAACGATTTCAACCCTGTACACTAGATGTTCACTACTTCTAAGTAAGGGAATTGCTGTAATTGCCTTAGAACTATATAACGATACAATTTTAAGTAGTCGTGTGTTCTGAAATAACATTAATCATAACTTAACGTCGAGCGCGGCTACGGCTGTCTCAAAACTTGGCGCGACATGCATGAAACCACTACAAACTTTGTACAATTCTGTCACGGCATAGTTTCAGTACGAAAGTTATTCAGTTTATTTTTAGCCTTATGTATTTAAATTTAGAACCTGAAATGCTTGACTACATATTTATTTATATACATATTTACATTAGTAATATTATGGTCCTTTAGTCCTAAACAATCTTGAATTTTAATATCTACTTAGTTCAATTGTGAATTGTTTTAACTATAATACTGGCAATTAGCAATTTTTTAATAATATAATTCCGAATAGATAAATATTTATGTATAAATTGATTGTAAATGTGACTTAGCTAGTCACTTTAATAAATGTAGGTACTTATAAATTCCTTATTTATACGTTAATGACAAATGCGGAAATTTTCTTATTAATTATGGTACCATTTGGAATAAAAACTATAATAATTATTATGTTAAAATTATGTGTAGAGGCCACACAATTTTATATTAATTTCGTAATTATGTAAAATACCATTACGGAAATGCCATACAATTGGAAATACGGCGGCGTTGTGATTATGGAGTTTTTAGTTTAGTATGTATATTTGTATAAACTTGTACAAAAGTATATTTACATTATTATATGGTATTTAAACATTTTTTTTTTTATATTTAACTAGCCAAATCCAATTAATATTATAAATACGAAAGTTTGTAACGATGAATGGATGGATGAAACGATGAATGCATGTTTGTTACTCTTTCACGCAAGAACTACTGAACTATGAAAAATAGGATACTTTATGTACTGATTCACTCAAACAAAGCTGCGGATTAAAGCTAGTCTTAAATAAAAGCTAAGAATAATCAGTAAAGCATCGATTGTGTTCCAGGTGCATGGACGTGGACGGCGATGGGTACATCTCGATGTACGAGCTGGAGTACTTCTACGAGGAACAGATGCAGAGGATGGAGGCGATCGGCATCGAGACGCTGCCCTTCAACGATTGCTTGTGTCAGGTACGTTTTGGGTCTTATACCGAAGCTATATTATAAAATAATTATTAAGCTATATTGACTATAACACGCAGCTTTGAATGAATAAATGTATATACTTACATTTGTATTATATAACATAGAGAATATAAGAACATAAGCAATAATGTTAATAAATACACATATATGTACAATATGTACAATAAGTATGTATAAAACAAGACGGTTATATTGCTGACAAAAAATCTTTTCACTGCCAAGGGAAAACTCATGGAAAACGTAACGCATGCAATTGTTGAATAAGTAAGTGTGCCAATAATGGAAATTAAAAATAATAAATAAAAAAAAAATTCTGGACTGTATAAAATAAAATTTAAGATAAACAATTAATAGGATAGAATAGAATAGAAATCATTTTTATTAAAATAGTCCTATTTACAAGCTTTTTTTTATAGTTACCTTTATAATTCTACTGCTGGGTTTATGTTGTTATCTGTTAAGAAGAACCTACATGAAACTAAATAGTTACTCTTTACTAATTTTGATAGATAGATAGATAATTTATTTGCATTACTTACAGCACACAAACAGCAAAAGACACAAATGCAAAGTGAAAAAAGATAAAAAAAGATACATTTACAAAAAATAAAAAAAAAATCAAAAATAAAATCAGATTGCATAAAATTAGTAACATTTTTTTTTATTCATGCGTGTGCCACAGTAATACAAAATTTCTGTTCATATTCTGTGTATTTACGGTACGGTCCTTGTACATTTAAAATCCCGTGTATGATTGACATAGATCACTATTTATCTCAATTAAAAAAACATAATAATATCTGTCACGAGGACGAAGTCACATGTAAAAGCTAGTATAAGCTATAACTTTGTAATTACAGATGCTCGACATGGTGCACCCGGCGGTGGATGGCAAGATTACACTGTCAGACCTGAAGAAGTGCAAGCTCACGCCGATCTTCTTCGACACATTCTTCAACCTGGAGAAGTACCTCGACCACGAGCAGCGCGACCCGTTCGCCACCCAGCGGGACTCCGACTGCGAGGTCAGTAGAACATTAATATTTGCAACTTGCACTGCGGTTATAGTTCAGAAGAATAACACTTGATTCCAGCCCAAGAGCGAATCTCAGCCTAAACTTTTAAATATTGTAAAATTTCATGCTTTGATGTCGTGTAATTCCGGTATAAAATGGGCAACACTTCCTTTCACCTATAGGCTATAGATAGGGTGTGATAAAAGGCGACTAAGGAAACTTAATAGTCGAGCGATGAGCAGCGACGTCCCTATTAAAACATCATCAAAGCTGTTACCAACCCGCCAGCCAAGCGTGGCAACTACTAGTGAAATCTTATGGGGGAGGCCTATGTTCAGTAATTGACTGTTAATGGGTAATATGGTATGGTATGGTGTACTTTAATGCAAATTCCACTGTGGTAACAGCTCAGTTGGACAACATTTGATTTCGGTCTTGGGATCTCAAAAACAAATCTCTTAATTCTTCAACTTCATATTAAGATCACTGAAATATGATTCTGACCAACCTTGTACTTTAAAGGTACATTTAAAAGCCAAGGCGGCCTTGGAAGTCTCCAGCGAATTCCAAAAATACGATATTCTCAATTTGTCTGTATTTTTATTTTTATATATTGTCGGTATGTTACGTGATTAACTCGCTAAATATGATTAGAACATTATTTTTTTCATGTTAATGTTAATTTTTAATCGAAGCAACCTTCATATCCAGAGTTACAAACATTAGTTGACTATTGACTCACATTTCGATATGTATATTAAAATCCAAAGTGATAAAAAGCCCTCACAGTAGAGTTGCAAATTCTCACAGAGTAGGTATCGATTTGATGTCCGCTAAATACGAGCTTAAGATATAAGTCGAGGTAATATAGTAAATATTACCTCGAATTATATATCAAACTACTTGCATAATATAATATTTATAATAGATAAATAAATAATAATATTATACCTAATTATATTCATATTTACAGATGTCTTTTTTTTTAATGGATGATAATGGAATGGTAACCCCGCCTGCGCTAACAGTATACACTGGCGGAGCACCAGTGAGGGATGATAGATGACGATGAAAGCAGGTCAGTTAGCCCATCGTGATGAATTGCGCTAGAATTAACCACGATGGTTTCCAGGGGAACTACGTGGAGGTCGACCTGATAGGGTATATTACTAGCAATGGAGCAGTTAGAGCCCATTACTAACAATCCCTTTCCCCCCTATTTACAGATGTCCGAATGGGATAGGTTCGCAGCCGAGGAATATGAACTGCTCGTCGCCGAGGAGGGCGGCAGCGACGCACAGGACCAAATGTAAGTTGACATTCATTATTCTATCCACATCCACTTAAACTATCATCAGATTTATTATATTTATTACACATTAACATTTTTGTTTTCTACAAACAGGCAATTGTATAAAATAATGAGAGAGTCAGAGAGAAAGAAGTGTATGGGCCGATTTTATGAACTGTGTCGCAGTAACGGACTCAACGGATACAAATTATACAAATAAATTGTTCAATAAGTTTGGTAATTATAGTAGAATGAATTGAATGCATCGGACCCCGTAATCCAGCACTAGAGTTAGCATACATCGAGCATTTTGCCGCATCGTCCATTGCACTCAATGATCTTGGCAGATTTAACTCTGCTCTCAAGTCCCCTTTAGGATTAACATTTATAATTAAACTTCACTGTGTACAATATGTTCTGAATGCAATCACTTCTAGATAATAAATAACCTGAAGAATATATAATAATTTGGAAACAATGAATGTTGATCTTTTTTTCTCGTTGACTTAATACTCGCTCAATAGAACACACTATAGGATGAAATCGAAAGCATTAGCAACTTACTAGTGAAACTAAATATTTTTTCTAAGTATTCAAAAGGAACATATTTCAAAAAACGACAAAAACTATTAAACCCTCCATACTAACTTGACACTCAAACTTTTTTAGTTTTTCGAGTCACGTTCCTTTAGAAAAAGTATTCCATTAATAGAATATTCCCTTAAAAGGACGCTAGCTAATAAATCCGATTTCAGCCTGTATAGTTTAGTTACTATTTCTTTTTTCTATATGTAAGTACATGTGTATTTTTCTAATAATAATTGAAATTATATAAGTATTAAATAATTAATTATTAAACAATATTAATAATTGTAATTTAAACAGATTTACTGATAAAATTATTATTATTTACATTTCGTCCCCTCTCTCTAGTCCTCTGTTTAGAGTCACACACGTATGTATTTAAACATTAATCCTTATATATATTTATATTTACTTACCAGGACCATAATATATTTTTAATATTATATTTTTTTGTTCATTATATATTAAAATTTCTTTCATCAGGGAGGAAGACAGAACTGGCTATGCTAGGGTAAGAATGTGTTGGTGAATTGCAGTGTATGTATTTGTGTCATTTTGCTGCACTGACAATATTTCGAGAGTTGTACATTTTGATCGAAACTGCTTGAGAACTGAGCTTGTATGACATGGTGATCTCATGACATGTGAACGAAACTTGCATTTGCTCTTTATCGACTTCTCGCTTAGAGTCTGCGTAGACTGTTATTATATTTGAATTGCATGCCAGCTATAATAGTACAATTTGTCTCCGTAAATATGCAGGCAAAGTTTTTGGATCAGGAACTGTAAATGGGTTGATTATCAGTGGCAAAAAGACTGAAAACTAGGTACTATCATTTTTAGTAACGGTAGAAAGTATTAAGCTATATCCAATGGTTTAATAAACTATTTGATTTTTTGAGAAATTAAATAATATTCGGTTAAATAAAGGATAAACTTTTCAGTCTAAGATTTAATTAATAACTGTAGCTTGTATGTTATTTTATATTATCAAAATTATAATAATTGAATCAGCAAATTATGAAATCTTCATTTGCTTCCATTACTGATCCATCCCTCTCATATATACCTACTGCAGATCTACCCCAAACAAAGCTACGCTCTATCTATCAAACTATTTCAAAGATATTCATGTAGTAATGATACATTCCAAATTGCACTATGGATTACAAGTTAATATGCATTTCAAATACAGTCTAACAAAACAGACTTATAGTCGTGTGGACATCTTGCACTGAAATGTTTGTGTAATTCATGACGCGTGTAATTGCAGCAAATCTACCAATCCCCCATTTTTTGAGGCTTCTATGATAGCACTCGCAGGACATTGTCTGCCTTACTGATGAAAATGCCGTTCGTGCAAAGCCTACTCCACACACTGTCGATTACTGTAAAGCTTTTGTTTGTAAATAATAAGCCTCATTGGCATTTATCAGGCATGATGCAACACTAACCATGACATGATTTTTGGTTCACTTGCATTCAGTACATATGCTCAAATTTAAAATGCTATAACGCTCTTATTCATAAAAACTTCTTACGTCTTATAAACCTATTCTAACTATTGAACTATTTTATCCATTTGAGCTAAAATCCGAATTTAAAAGAAAGTAGTAAAGCACCCTTAATGATAGGTTTAAAAGAGGTTTTAGTTTTTCTGAATAAGAAAGGATTTTTACTAATTTGTCGTATACGTTACAGCTCATACGATGAAACAGATGAAGACTGTCTATCGCCAAATTTAGATGACATCACCAGCACTGAAGTTATTGAGGACTCGAGCGTGGATGAGTCCACGCTTAGTGAGGGTACCGCGAGTGGGGGCACCGTACGTCTCCGAGACTCTACCCCCACCGCTCCCAGCACTACCGCTGGCGGCTTCGTCAACCTCAGCTCCATCTACTCTATCGACAGCAACAGGTGGAGCCATCAACCAACGACCAAGAACGGCTTTCCCGAAAAACGACCCGAAAAACCAGTACCCCCCGAAAAACCGGTCAGCTTAATGATGGTTAATGGAAAAATGGACAATAAATACGCCGGATTCGGCAACAACAGTTTCCTGTACTCTCACTTGTTGACTGGTCGGAAAGATCCTCCATCGTACAGTGCAGCTACAAGTGGCAAGGAACTGTTCGATAAAGAGCCAAAGAACTCTCCAGTGAAATCGCCGATAACAAGTCCCGTGAACGGCGTTAACAAGATCTCGGACAATTACGAGAGAGCAGTCGCTGAAAGACTCAGTCCACAAAGAGAGATATCGAGGCTAAATCGGAGCAGTCTATTCAGTAAAGTGAATACTGGCGTCGTTTCTAGCAAAGTCAAGAAGAATAGTCAAAGAAATCAAGAGGAAGACGACGATTATGCTCGTGACAGTGACGAGTGTTCTATTTAGATATCGGAATGAATCGTTTTGACGTCTCCAGTGAACACCAAAGATGATAAATGTGCAATTAAAGCGGTAGTTATCAATTTTAGATTAGGACCAGATACCGTTGTGTTTGACAGAGTAATATTTTTTCAGCGTATCCTAGTGGTCGATACGTGCCTTGTGACAGTTTAGACATTACGATCCCACGATCACACATAGAGTGAACTAGTGTTATATGAATTAGAAATCCTGGTGCTATCACATCTGCAGAGCTACAAAGATGTTAATCAAAGAAGATACGAAGTAATCTCTGTTACTTGTAACGTCGTGAGCAAATTTGAACTCTTCTGTGATTATTATAAGAACTATTTCCCTTTATAGCTCTATGTGATGGCACACAGACTGGACATTGTTCAAAACGTCTCATAGGCTAGTTACAGCATTTCGTTAGTATAGTATTTATGTATTTACGAGATTTTTTACCAGTGTTACTTTCACTATAGTCTCAAAAGATTTAAGCATATCAACAATAGTGTTTTATTATTTTATTTGCATGAATATTATTGTTTACAGATCTACCTAAGTTTTATCTGTATTTAGTGGTATTAAACATTATAGGGCCTATTTAATTCCGTCATGATCAAAACCATTCATATCATCGCTCCATCCACAGATTATACTAAGAAGAAAAGAGATATTTATATTGCTCTTCCAAGTCTATTAATTTATTTGAGTCGCTATATGACCGGACAGAACTGTGATTAAGTTAAAACTCCACAGATAGCGCTTTATGAAAAAGCAATTTGAATCTGTCGCCTATATAAATATTATGAAATTTAAATTGTCTATTGGGCTTGTAACTTCCACAGGGATTGATATTATATCGGAGCCTTTCATTGCCTCGGTTAAAACGGTGGAAATTTAAACTCCATTTACGAATAGAAAAAAACATTTATTCAGTTTTTCCCTAATCACTGTGGTTGGGAAGAAAACCTAATAACGAGAGTACAATTGTACTAAGTATATAGATATTAGCAAATAACTACGCGGGCTTTGTTGTTTAAATTTTGATAGAGTTATTAGGCGCGAAATTTAAACCACAGATTTGAAAATATTAAGCTAAATAATAGGTCGACGAAACATACAACGCAAGTGTATCTTCATAATGCATTATCAATTTCACATTTAGATATCGCCGTTTTTTTGTGAGTATGCATTTATTTAATATCGATGGATTAATAATGAAATATAATTAATCACAAAATTATTATTTTTATTCTTGTTAACGTCCAATCGTCCACGGCTGGCTTTTTTTTTATTTAATAAGACATTAATCAGTATAATAAAACACGCACAGACTATTAATTTAGTAATTAGTATTAGGCATGTAATAAAGTATTTTTGATAGAGACAGGAATACGTCTCGAGTCTATGTACATGGCGATTATAGGACGGTGTCAAATTAATATAATAGTAAGTAGTTAGTTAGTCCACGAGTTAATAGAACAATTCGGAAATTATTGTAGATACAGTAATGGTTAGATGAAAAACATAAGGTTTCGGGCCCATTCAGTAAGTTTTATTACCAGACATTAATTGTAGTTACTATGTGAAGTCGATTAGATATTCTAAAATAGAATAATTATAACCTAGATGTAAAAAAAAGTTCTGTCTGGGTATAATTATGATGAGTAGATATAAATTAACAGTTTCCACATTCAGATTATATATCATAGTACATACCTAGTAAAGCTAGTTATTGCATCACATTTGTAAAACAACGATAAACTTGAAATCACTACTTATTATATTGTTATTAAAATACTCCCCTTATCTTATATATTTATTACTGCGCCCACCTCCACTCAACCATCAGTTGTCTGTTCCGTACAAGGGTGCAAACTTGAACCATTGTTCTATATTCATGTCAGAAATTATTAGATAAATACAATTAATTAACCATTTACATAACTAATAAATTATTTGAAAGTGATTGCAAAATGATCAGCTATTATTATTATTAATATTAACAATATTATTGAACAATAGGGAAGCTTGTTGCAAATATATCTTGATGGAACAGCTGAATTTTACTTACTCTGTAATCATAAGCGGGAAAATAGAATATTTAAAACTTTGCTTTCCCGCCTTTATAGCACTTTTTTTTTTCTAAATTATTCTTTGCGAGTAAACTTCAGGTGGCGCTACCTTCTGTGAGCTTCGTGTGAATTGAAATTACTCTCAATTTCTGGTGATAAACTTACTTAGTCTAGTCCGAGTGACTAAAAGGGCCGTAGAATTTATAGTGACATAGCAATGGCAGCTGTATTATATGCTTTTAGATAATGCTAGGTAGATCTTACATTTTACTCTAGTCTGCAGGTGCTTATCGACAGAAGGTCTACCATTCATATTTATTATTACAAAATTTCTTTACAAAACGGTTGTTTTTATAGAACTATTTTTTGTATTAGGGCTGCCATCAAGGCTGGTTGGTTATTTTAAAGTAATTTTGTGGGGGAATAAGGAGAAAAGTGAGTTTTTTTAGAATCCGGATAGGTAGCTTGAAGAATGTAAGTATTACATTAAAATTATACCAGAGTAATATAGTTTTGAGACCTATCAATATCAAAATGGTAGCATACATTGGTTTTCTAAATTTGTGTATTTAATGTTAGATGGTAGCCCTAAATTTTATTTATATATGATTTAAGTCTTTATAATATCAAAGAAATTACTTTGAATTTCAAATCGTAATTTCAAAGTGAGTTTATCTAGCAATGAGCAATGAATAAATCATAAAAATATCTAAATAACAAACTTGCCTAAGATATGTGAAATACTTGTATGTATTCACTTTAGTTACATACTATTTGGATGGTTTTAAATCCATTACTTATGTAGTTTTAAAATGTTAAAAATGTATCTTCCATACATTAAAAATGCAACTCCTGTGCCTCATTTGGAATCCTTTCAAATAAAAAAATCTAACTGTTTATATTTATAATTCTGTCTTCTAACTAATATTATTACTAGTCATTTCAATATCTAAATGGAATTCTTTATTTACAATCCTCGAATCAACTAACTTTACCAAGTATTAACCAAAACGATTGTTCACATTTTAATAAATTTTATTAATATGTTGTGTACTGTTATCTTAGTATAATTTTATTAAAATTTATGGTATGTTTTAAATACCTACCTGGTTTGAGCTTAGCTGTTCTAAGATTTAATGATAATTTAGTTAATTTAGATGATATAGGTCTGTAAGTTAATTTGGCGGAATAAAGTTTGTTAATTTTGGGAGAGAGTCATAAGTCAGTAATTAATGAAAATGAGTTTTTTTTTGCTGATATATATTTAATATATAGATACAAACTTTATAAAAAGTATGGACAAAGATACTACTCAGTAATCCTAAGGTGATCAATGAATATCGTTTTTTTTTTTTTACTTTTTTCTAACGTTATGTTATAATCTTATATTTGCCTTAAACTTTGAAACATTACAGATCTTAATATCAATATAATCATATACATATTTCTTATTATTATAATCTTGAATATCAAATTTTATGCATCTTTGGACTTTATTCAATTAATCTTCTACTTCTTACTATTTATTGTTATTGTTGGTAATTTACAATTAAATACGACAAGGTTCTAATGGTTCTTTACCTGTCTGTATCTATTAAATAGAATCTTAGTTAACTTTGTTCAATGGTTAGATTATTATAATATAAATTTGCTCTTAAAAGATTGTAACTTCCAGTGAATAACCCCAAGCCATTCTATATATAGTGCCATTAATATAATACGCAAGGTGGCGTCGATGGAATTGTTGAATACTGAGTTGCTATTATAAAGCCACTCGTAAACGGTATCTAAATAGGGTAAGAATTATCAAACTATCTATTTAAAATAGATCTGGATATTTTCTTTCAGCGATATAGAAGTAATGTCTTTTTATCAACATGTTTAACTGTAATAACACACATAAATTTATTTGTAGTATTTTATTAATTATTAATTACACAAGACAGCCAGAGTAATAATTATAACGAAAAATTTTTTAGTAAACGACGAATTTAACAAGTGCATGTAATTATTTTCGTTGCTGTATCTATTTAAAATACCAATGTTAGACTGTTATTGATTATAATCAATGTAGTGTTATAAATAAACGGGAGATTACATACAAATACTGTTAACATAATTAACATAAGATTTTTTTTACAAAACTAGTGATGTCATAGTAATGGTGTGTTTACGTGAAGTGAGGTGACAGACCTATTGTTAAGTATCCTAATAAATAAAGTACATTATTGTATTTATTTCATGTTATTTTATTTTCATGGAAATCCTAAAATATTGTTTACTCCTCTACCTTTTCTTTACAACTTTAATGGCAGACGACAGCCCACCTAATGGAACGTGGTAACCGTCGCCTAAAGACATGAAACACAAACTTATGTTTTTATCAAACATAGAATACACTATATCTAAAATTACATCGATATAATTGTATGAAAGATCAGTATGAATTGATTCATTTGGATGTATATTAAAGGAACAAAACCCGCAATTATATTATTATTCGCTGTGACTACACTCTGTGTGAGTATTGAATAAAAATACATCATGTCACCAGTTCTCATTGTTTGAAAACAGGAAAAGCTTTTTTTTTACATATTTTTTATTAAAATTTTAATTAACGTTGCAATATATAATAGGCCCGTTTCTTACTCTTTCCTCCCTAATACAGCCATACTAAGTAGAGAAAGAATTGTTAATAATGAGAAGTTGCAACCAAATTACCGTAATATCAGATTGAATATGAAAACTGGGGGAAAGGGATTGTTAGTAATGAGGTTTAACAGGCCCATTGCTAGCAATACACCCTATCAGGTCAACCTCCACGCGGTTTCCCCTGGAAATCATCGTGGTTAATTCTAGTGGAATTCATTACGATGGGCTAACTGACCTGCTTCATCCTCACTTATCATCCTTCAGTGGTGCCCCGCCAGTATATACCGATAGCACGGGTGGGGTTACCAATCCATTATCACCCATTATAAAAATATGGAAACTATTACAATTACTTTGTACTGAATTTTCCTTATCTAACATTATTCTTAGTATGTCTGTTTACCTCTAATCAGTCAAAAAATTAACACATTTTACGAATTTATCTTAAATATTTTACAAATGCACTTGTTTTTGCATTATGTGAGTTTCAGAATAAATTCTTAATTAAAAATAATTATCTTCTTTACATAAATAATACCTTAAAAACTTGGATATTAAATATAATTGATGTTTTAAGAGCCTTAAATCAAGTAGAAGTGTCTAGATATTTTCAAATATAATTTTGAAATAAAAAAAAAATAGGACTCCATTAAAACCAATCTTAACAAACCAATAAAAATATATTTATGTTTAAATAAATTCGATTTCTTTTTTTTTTTTTTTATTTCACTAATATCTATGAATTCTATACACCCCGTTTTTATGATACTATCTTTAATCTATAATTATAACTTATCATCTGTGGTAGAGTGCTCATTGCCGTGTTGCTAATTTTGAAGCTTTTCCCTTTGAATTTAGGAAATCACATTCAATCAAAAGTTTATAGATTTTTTAGAATAATACAAATATAAACATACCACCCATTTATTCTTAGAAATTTAATTTGTATTACTATTACATCGTCATTTCACCAAAAACACATAATAAAATATAAAACTTGTAGTACCCTACACAGTTTTAATAAAGTTTTATACATGGTTATAAATTTGACTTTTACTCACGTAAATATCAACACTTTTAATATACTGATAACTGGGAGGAAAGGGATTGTTAACAAAGGAGTTTGACAGCCCCATTGCTAGCAATATGCCTTAGGTTAGCTCGACCTCCACGTGGTTACCCCTGGAAACCATTGTGAAAATCCTTGTTGAATTCGTCACGATGGGCTAACTGACCTACTTTATCCTCACCTATCATCCTTCATTAGTGCCCCGCCGGTGTATACCGATAGCGCGGGTGGGGGTTACCATTCTATTATCATCCATTAAAAATATATTGATAACTGTAACTATTTATGTTATTTTTGAAAACGGAATGCCGGGAAGGAAATTCTAATTAAATATTGGCGACACTGTAATCTAATGTCATAACAAACAAACGTCAAAATGACATCGTTTCTTTTTACGTAAAAAAATAAATAAATGTGGCGGGTAGTATTTCAAAAAAATATTGTATTAACCAAAATTAATGACAACTTAATAAAATTAGCAAAAATGCCTTTTTACGCAGTGGCAAAAGGGCGAACAACTGGAATCTTTATGACATGGGGTGACTGTGAGACGCAAGTGAAAGGATTCCCTGGAGCACGGTACAAAAAATTTAACACTGTCGTCGAGGCACAAAGTTTTATTGAAGCGGAAGGTGGTAAACAAACTGTTCCAAAAACTAAGCAGTCCTACACTGAGAAGTATTCTGCTCCTAATAATTCCAAAAACAACCTTAAGCGATCATTTACTACGTCATCCTCTGATAAGAAAAATCATGGTGATTATAATCGGGAAATTAATATAACACCTGAAATTGAACAACCGTCTGCGAACTCAGAATCCCAGAGTGACCAAGATTACTCTCAGACATTTACAGATGAAGATTCTGGTGATGATATAAATACGATGTTAATTAAGCAATTAGATGATGTAGAAAAGCGAATAAAAGGCTTTGAAAGAGGTGTTGACAAAATTATAAAAAATAGCTCTCGTAAAACCATATTGATCAAACCTCCAGAACCTAAGAGAAGTAGAAAAAGTAGGAACAACTATGAATTTGAAGAGGATAATGAAGGATTTGTTCATGTTTACACAGATGGGGCTTGTTCAGCCAATGGTCGAAATGGTGCACGGGCTGGTATAGGAGTTTATTTTGGAGAAGGACACCCTCTTAACACAAGTGCACCTGTTTCGGGTCGTGCAACTAACAACTGCGGTGAAATACAGGCCGCAACTAAAGCCATCCAATTAGCTTTACAAAATGGTGTTAAAAAGTTAGCTATCAATACTGACTCACAATTTTTAATCAACTCTGTGACAAAATGGATGCCAGGTAAAAATTTTATATTTTATAATATGTTTGTATGTGTCTATTATTTTTATACTACAGATGATAGGATAGTGTACAGAAATTTTGGTATACTATCTTTCCATCATTATATCAGCCATTAACTGTCTATTGCTGAAAATAGACCTCCACCATGGGTGGTAATGCCAGTAGTTGCCACTCTCAACAGGTAAGTTGGCAATCACAGTTAGACATTCTTTGGTGATATTGTAAAAGAGATGCTGCTGCCTATCTCTCAACACTTAAATTTCCATAATTACCACTTACAACATTCACGGGAAAAGAAGGGGTAGCCCATTCTATGTCAGGAGCACACGACAACAACACTATCCTTTATTTATTGGATATTTTTTAACATAGACCCCTTATGGATTTTCTTAAAGATAAATTCTAAGGCAAGTTTTTATTTAAAATATACTGTCTGTGTTCTATAAGTATTAAAATAAAATAATTTTTAAGATGTTTTTTATTTTGCAAAATATACTAAAAATAGTACTCAAAAATAAGTAATAAAGTGATTACTGTAACTAAGTGGTTGTGTAACAAGTTTTTGACTTAACCTATTCCTGAAATTAATTAATATAATTAATGTTGCACAAGGAGACAGAATAGTCTAGTAATTTATAAAAAAAATTGTAAGCCTTTATAGTTCACTTATACAGGACCTTATTTTAATTTTTCAGGTTGGAAAAGTAAAGGTTGGAAATTGAGATCAGGAGAACCAGTAAAAAATGAAAAAGATTTTAAAGATTTAGATAAAATTCAAAACAAATTGCAGATAAAATGGAATTATGTGGAAGCTCATCGCGGAGTGCATGGTAATGAAATGGCTGATCAGCTAGCCAAAGCTGGGGCAGCTATGTATAATAAATAATAAAAAAAAAACTCTAATTACACCTTGATAATTTTTTTGTACGAGCATTTATTCTGTTATAGAATATAGGATGAAATTGGAATAGCATCTTTTTAGAAAAATATTTTACTAATAGAACTGAAAATTGTTACAAAAGAAGTATAAATTGTCTAATGATAAAAATTTTGAAACTCTCATTTAGTATGAAAGATGGAAATTTGTTAAGATTTGGATATACCTTATTGGCTGGTGAAAGCTTTTTTAAATTGTTCTATTTTGGTTGTAAAATATTCTTTTAAAATATTTCAATTTCAGCCTCTAGTGCATAAACAGAATCTGATTACAAAATGACTTTTTATTTATGATTCTACTAAGTTTTTCTATATTTTATGATTCTTATTATTCATTATTGTACAAATAACTATGTAAAACTTAATTGTGATTATTTATGTTATTATGACTATCTTATTATGTGATATTTAAAAGGATAAAAGCTGGCTTTCCTATCATCATAAGACAAAAACTATAAAATCAACTTTTTTATACTGTTGAATAATCTACCAAATTGACTATTTTAACCCATTTCTTATATTCAATAGAGAGAAAATTATTATTTAATATTTAGATTTTTTTGCAGCAAAAGAACATTTAGACTAATACAATGGATAGAGAATAATGTGATTGTTTGTGTATGTAATATTTAAAATATTTAAGACAATGTGATTGTTTGTTTTTGTACATAATTTGTTAAGACAAGGTATTACAAAAAAAAAAAAAAAGAAATTGAAATAAAAATATATAAAAAACTTCTATTTACTTTCTTGTATGCAGTTTTTAACCCAGAATAGACCAAGCTTCAAATATGCCTCTATAGTGAATATAACACCGAATTTATCACCATTCAAATAAATGTTTGAAATTGCTTAAAAAGTACATAACTTTAATATTTATTGTAAAATAATAAGCAAATTAATTTCGACATAGTCTTTATTGAAACTTAAATACTTCGTACCTTATGCACTAAAGCCTACACAATCGATAAAATCACGAGTATTTACACAGTAAAACTTATCAGTTCAGGCCACAATAAACAAAGCTTAAAACATCCAAAAGTTTGAACAATAGTTGGTAATTAATATTGCAGTAGTATACAAAAGAAATACCAAACGACAACCTCTGTCCCATATTATGATTAAACAATATACCATATCTTTACATTAATAATACAAAAATATTTTACGAGTACATTAATAAGATACCTAAGATACCTATCTGTTTTTGCGTCCATTTTAACAATTTGTAGTTTTCATAATCTGTCGTTTAAGTAATCAAAATGCGCTAATAAAATTTTATCACCTATTTATCATTAAAAAATTGTTCAATGGACCAAATAAATAAATTTTACGATAAATTTAATGTTAAAATTTACAATATATTATCAAATATTAACATGTAATAGAATCGAAAAGTACAGAAAAAAAAAATGTAAAGTCTATGAATTATTTCAGTGACCAGGATACATTGTTTAAAGATACTTTATACTAATATATTCAGATGTCACATGTACACCTTTACAAAACACGCACATAGTATAATCATTTTCTTGTCTCTTTTTTGTATACTACGTCTACGGTTTGACCACTTTATAGAAAAATTATGACAGACGCTGTTTACTGACCCGTTTTCGATATAAATTCGATATAAACCCACAAATAGAAATTTATGATATTATTATATACACTTATTCACGTTCATTTTAGGATAATGTACGTATAATGTGACGAAATGCGACGTAAGTTGACAATATCGATCGAAAAAAAAAATAGCTGCCAAATGAAAATATGAGACTTGTCATATTGGAATTATCATATTTATTGATTCATATGTGCCATATGGTCCCGGCATAGAATGGGCCACCCCCTCCTTTTACCTGGGTGCCAAGGGTGGCAACTATTGGCAAAACCATTAATTATAGGGGAGACCTAATTTCAGCAGTGAACTATTAATGGTTAATATAATAAAAATAAAAGAATGCTCAAAAAACATTTTAACATAAAATACTAATTTAAACCTTTTGGATGTTTTTGTAATTGGATATTATAAGCCTCACGAACCACTTTACCTAATATGTAATATTCTTGACGGCATAAAAATATTTCCAGTTCTAGGCATATCTCAAAATATTTATAAGACTTATCTTGAGCGATATAACATCAAGTTTGCCTGAATATTGGTTTTATTATTTGTACCAAAATATACAACCACGATTAAAAAAAAAAATAAGGAGTTTGTTATTGCACGCAATGCAAAAAAAAAAAAAAAACAAATATAGGACTAAAACTAATTGTGTTAACCAATTATCAGTATTATGGATTGACTGTGGATACGTAAACTTAAAAATTAGCAGTCTTAAAGTTACAAATATTAGTGAAACAAAATTATACATTTTCACGTATAGTGTATTTGTTATATATAATGTAAACGTGATTTCATCACAGCGATTTGATTTTTAACAATTGTTGCCATGTAGTTATTTAAATAAAACAATATAATGGAAACTTAAAAGTTATCATTTAGAATCCATGTCGAACAATACTACATCGCAATAATAACAATCAAATATTGTGTAGTACGAAGTTAAAAAATATACACAATATACATTGTATTGATCTACAGAGGTACATAGCGAAGATGAAAGCCAGCGACGTAATTTGTGAAATAAAAAAAAAACTTTCGTGTTTCAATTAGTGTTATAAAAATTGTTTTGTATCAAATTGAAATGACAAACTAATAGCATATGAAAAGTGCTAATTGCCTATAGAGATAAAAAACATAGGAAACACCAATCGTAATAGTGCTCCTCGCGCGTTAGCATTCTAGTTTATTGCCATTTATTCGATCTACTCGATTTATACAATCATACATAGCCATTTAAATAATTAGGTACCAATTTTATCGATTAATAAATACTATTGATATATAATCGCTTTTATAGATTATTATCACTTCCATTGGAACTTGATTAATAATGGATATCTGATGATTACTTAGCAACAATATCAAGTGAATAGTTTAACTGACTTTCAGTTCGCTATCAGACTAATCCTGTGTATGATAATAAAAGTGTAATAAATGCATTTTGATACTCGCTACATCAAAAACCGAATATAGTTAATAATTCCAGAATATGGAATTAACCATCCTTTATTTAAAATGTCGTTACATTACAGACTGATAAATTCTTGTCTTGTAAAACACCTCCCTTATTCAAATACTAAAACGTTCTACAGGCCTAATTTAACTATTACGGTGTTTTGTCACGGTCTTAAAAATTGAGAAATTAATGCAAAAGAAAAGGGCAAAACACGTATCTAAAATAGGTTTACGAGAGGTTTTACATATGAACTAGAACCCCTTTAGGGTTACTCCATACTATTTTCAACATTGTGATCAAGTCACTAAAGTAACAAAATAAGATACAAAAATTGTTTACGCAAAAAAGAGATAAACTCATTGGCATATTTAAAATTATTTTTTAAGGATGGGCCTGGTCATTTAAACAAGCCGTATGTGAACTGGCAGACATATTTATGAAGCTCTTGATCCTGGGATGGGTAGCAGACAATTCTGGGCCGGGAACGCTACCCTCCTCCCCCCTTAAATACGCTTATGGATAAACTTATTATATTAGTATACAATTAAATATAAACCGTTTTGCATGGAGATAAAGTTAACATTTAAAGATAGTATCATTCGAGCTATGTCGCTCATGCTCCAAAAGTGTGAATAACAGTATTAACAAACACATAATTCCAGAGATCATTCTCTCGTGGTTACCGAAAAAGATCTCCAAGGCGACCTATTGTATATTTACAACACAATAGATCCACATCTTTTAAAACAAAATTTACTAAATTTTACAATATTTACAACATCGCGACCTTGAAAAAAAAAAAAAAATAGAAATCATAATGCTTGAAGTATGTAATTATTACAATTAGACATAAACCAGCCTTTACGACCAGTGACTAAAAATAGCAAATGATACAAAAAAGTATATCATGACACTATATTTACATCCTAATTCAGACATGTTCAATAATAAGACCTAACATTACATTTATCAAAGCTTAAAATCATACTTTAAAATAGTTCTATACAAACGTATTTGTTACTCATGAACTCCACAGCACTGAATCAACCACTTTTTTAGAAAGATTCGAGATTTATTTTTATAATGGCATACGAGCATACGGCCCTTGTGATGAACTTTAATAATCTCTGTTAGTAACTTACATTACAATATAGCATTATAAACACCACACCACACTGTGACTATCCGTGCTATTTCTTATGTGTTGTTCAGTATTTCTGACGTGATACACATACGATAATATAACTAATATAGTCTGTGAAATGTCACTTAAAAAAACCTAATAACCACCAGATGGCAGGGCGACTTAAGAAACCTTACTAGTGATATAAACATAAAATTCAGCAAAGATGTACGTTAATCACGCCCAAACTCAACAAAATTTGATACACAGAACATAATAAATAAATAGGACACACTTATCCTAATCCAAAATCCAAGCAAAGCCACGGTTTACAATTAGTACTTAAAAATCACAGCGTATGCACTAGCACAGTTCACGTAAAGTATTGTATAGCGTGCGAACGGCGCGCCGGCGTCACCAATGGTGAGTTATTACTCGAGCCCACTATTAGGTAACCCCCTGAGGTCACTACCTTCTTAGTTGTGGTGCTGTCATCGCTGGTAATTACCTGAAGGAATAAAGTATCACTTGTTATTAGAGAAAAAAAATAGATGACTTGAAACTGAATCCCATAACACGCCCAAACATATTGTATTGTTTTTTATAACTTATAATGAACTCTGGCTAATAAACTTTGCAAAAAAAGCATGTTACTTTCAACTTTTTCGAATAGTTTATTATATAAATGTTATGTACATTTATAAAATATAATTCTAGTAATAATATAAATGTGAAAGTTTGAGTTTTTATTCATGTATATACATCAAATGTATACAAACAACATACTTGTTTGTTGATAATGACGGGTGAGACCTGCGCGGGCGCAGAGCTGGAAGCGGACGGCTTGTATGTACCGACGCACTTCATTGTCTGATTACCGCTCGTATCCTCTACCATACTCACTAGACCAATAATAAAAAGTGTTAAAAATTATGAATTCTTGCATTTATTATGATTAAACAATTGATAATTATCGATGAACTATAAATTAATGAAAAACACGTATTGAAATTATATTGTACGCTTAATAAAAATTTGCTACCTCATACGTCTGCTTTGAAATTGTTTATCTCCCCTATATGGTGTCATTTCAATAACGCCAACTTTGTAATTTATCTATTAATATTTGCTTTATTTGTTATATATATGTAAATTATAAAAGTGACAATTATTGCAAACCAAATAAATACATATCATATCAAAACAGTATATTGGTATCAGACTCACTTATGATGGAAGTTTTCGTCGCGTGGTCGGGTCCAAATCTAGTGACGGCATTGGCGGCCGTCAGCGCCGGCGCAGCTTTCTGTAAGGCCAATATAACACGTGCTATGTAATACGCCAGTCCCGTTACTGTCTGTTTTTAGAGATCTATATTCACGCCAGTTTCTTATCGACTTATTAGAGAGAGTAATATAACAAAATCCTGTATAATAAAGAGGCCTTTGAATACTACCCGAATGGATTTTCGTAGAAAATAATTAATTAGGAGAATTTCAATTTAGGATTGTAATTCAAGAATGAAGAAAATGATCTTTTTAGATTTTCTAATCTTTTTAGGAGTTTCTTTGACGTGTTCACCAAAAAAGATTTCTTATGATTATTAAAAAAAAATATTATAAAAATTAATTTGTATTTACAAAAAGAAAGTATTCCATAGTACAAGTTATGTTTAATATGAGATGTGGAACATGGCCAAGAGTATATTTGAATGTATTTAAATGAAATAACTCACTGGGAGATCTGGTTGCGGCTGTAGTCTGCTCTCTGATGGGCTTCCTATACTATTATTACTAGTGTTGTCATCCTGTAATGTGTAAATATAGCAATTGAAATTTTATGGCCCAATTGCGAGGCAAAGTGCAGAAATGCTTAGGTAAACAATATTCCAATCATGCAAACGAGGTGAAAAGGATTTGTTAGTAATGGGGTCTACAGGCCCATTGCTATTAATATTCTCTATCAGGTAGTCTCCACGCTAGGGGCGCCGACTCCATGGTTGTTCGGGGCTTCAGAACCCACGACAGATAAAAAGTGGGTGAAGAGCACCAATGACGCTACACATCATAACATAACTGAAATAATTCTAATCTCATTATTTGTTGTTTAGGACGCGTTTGTTTGTCCAGCAAGCAGAGTCTGTCTTTCAGCTGAAACCTAATGATGGACCTAATTATAATATCAAAAGAACATAAGTATACATTAGAATTTTCTAGAAGCCGGCGCCACAAAACCGACATGGAATTTGTGGAATTCTAATTTGGCCGGCAAACTGATCTGTTTGCATTCTCACCTATTATCTCTCACTGGGGCCGCACCAGCATATATTCATTTAAAAAAATCATGCAAACGATTGTACGACGTTGCGGATAAAAACTACTATAATACTATAAATTTAAATTACATAGGCGACAGAGTATACTGTTGTTAATGATACTGTTCATGTCTACAGGCAACAGTTACCACTTTCTATCATGTAGACCGTCAGCTTGTTTGCCATTTAAGTTGTATAAAAAAATGGCTGAAATGAATAATGAGTGAGTAACAGCGTAATGACCTCCAGCCTCTGTTGCGCGCAGACAGCGTAGTGCTGCGCCCAGTGCGCGCGCTGGCACGGGTAATCGCAGTACGACGTGTTCCAGCAGCAATAGAACTGCGCCTCCTGGCTGCAGTTCGCGCACCTGCACACGCGGATTACAGTTTAAAGGCCGCCATACACGATCAATCGAAACGATAATCATAACAATTTATTTTTTTCTATATAACATTAACACACGTGCGATATATCGTTTAATTTTAAAAATCGAATGATCATTACGATAACCGCTCCGTGTATGTGAAGCTTAGAAGCGTTCATATAATAGTGTGGGAATGACAAAATTATATATCAGTAAAAGATTAACCATTTTTAATATTTCATTTCAAAGTAGGTGTAAAATTTTTGTTGGTAGATTTAAGTACAACATATTCAACGATTAACGTTTTACCCCATATTCATAAAAACTAAAAATTACAAATTTATTTTAACTATTATACTATTTTGTCACTTTCTTTTGCTTCTTCTCTCCAGCTGGTATTAAACTGAATAATTGCTTATTTGCAATCTAAATTGCATAAAAACCCGTGTAGAAATAGTAATAACTCACCACTGCTTCGACTTGGTGAGTTTGACGGCGGCTTCGAGATCCGCCTGCGCGGCGCGGCGTGCTTCGTTCACCGCTCGCTTCTTCTCCCTTTCGAATGAAGCGCGCATCTCCGCTAGTGTCAAGTCTGTGCACAATAAACATACAAATTAATCAGAATCCGCAATGTCATGTAATATTATGTAATTTAAAAAAAAACCATGAGTATGGCTTATTTTATATTATTTTTTATATATGGGTATATTGTCACTACAATATTAAAGAAAATGATAGATGTTACTTCCTATCTACACTTTGATGTTACAATGTAACTTAAAACGTTGATAAATATAACAAACAAAACAAAAAAACCTTCAAGTGTTAATTTTAAACATTCGCATTGTTTACACATATTTTAAGTACACTGTCAGGACTTAACGGCATAGGAAATTGTTTGCAGGTAAATAGTACCTACATACCTGCTTCTTTATAGTCGATGTTTCGAAGTATACTGCACTACGTCATGGTCACGACAGTATATTTTACATGTTATACATTTTCAAGTAAGTCCATCCAGAAATGTTGTTTGTTCATCAGCGGAGATTAATGAATAATACCATAATATATATAATAATAATAATAATAAAAAAAATTAAGTAATTATTTCTTTTTTACGTATGATACTAAAATGGTGCAGATATCAAAATAGTATACGGTAGTATACAAAAAAAAATAATATGACAGTTCTTTTCACAGACATGCGCATGCGCAAAATTTTTCATGACTGCGCTCATTTTTTATTCAAGTTCGACGGTTACTATACCATGATTGTGTTTGATCTCGTCGAGCTCCTGCTGGTGCCGCCACTTGATTTGTTCGAGCTGGAGCCGCAGAGCGGTCAGCTGCGAGGCCGGCTCGTCCACTTTCTCAAGGGAGTCCTCTAATAGCGTACGGAAGAAATCTGTCAACTGGCAATTTTGAAATATTAGTACACGGTTGCTCAAAAAATTATTGTAATATTTTCAGAGTAGATATATGTATAAAATTTCTTTATTCCACCATAACTTGTAAATGTCTGAACGGATTTAAATGTATAGCATAATCTTTAGAACCCATAAATCATCCTAAGTGACCTATTTTTTTATTTGCTGAGCATAATATACTTATATACGTAACATTCTTACAAAATAATTATCTTACTTTACAGTGACTATTTGGCATTTAATAACAATTAAATTCTTCGTAAAATGGCTTCAAACATTAAGATAGTTGTAGAGAAATAAAATTAGACACCATGCCAGATGGAGCTGAAAGCAAAATCTATTTTCGATATTTTGTTATTCAGCATAATATGATGCAAAATGTCTAAATCCCTGAGTGATGTTATTTATCTTTTACTAATAAACGATATATAATAATAAGAAGGGTTCCTGAGTAGCGACTCTGTATGGGCAAATACAGTATAGGATAACCTGTCACTAGATGAAGTGACAACCTCAAATACATTGCAGGTAGTCAATGAATGCAGGTGGCTCAGGACCATTCCTTATGGCAGTCTATGGGGGACACCTATATTCATATAGCAGATATTGACGATATGTATGAATAGTACCTTAACAGCGTTCTGGTTGAGCTTAGCTGTGAGAGGCCCGACGGTGGTGGGCGGCAGCAGGTTGCCGACAGGCGTGCTGGAGTCCAGCGGGTTCAACAACCCCGGCCGCTGTTGGAGTCGCGGGGGCTGTAAAATAAAACAATTATTAGTGAATCAAAACAGTATCATCAGTAAAAAAATCAAAGGTTAAATTTGATTAAAAAAATAATTATTTCTTCAGTTTAAATTTGCATTTGTCAGCTATCGCAACCAAATGTGTAAAAATTCGTTTCTTTAAAAATCATTACGCGTGACTTGACTCTACTTATTTATAGATTATAAGCCAACATAATTATGTAGTTACCTCTCCAGGATTGGCAGAAGCATCGTTGGTTGTACTATTCTTGGTCGTAATCTGCGCGAGACCTGTAGCGAGTGTGACGGGTGTGACGGGCGTGGCTGGCGTGGCTGGCTTGGCTGGCGTGGCTGGCGTGGCTGGCGTGGCGGGCGCGGCGGGTGTGATGGGTGTGGTGGACGTAACAGGTGTGGCAGTGGCGACTATTGGCGTGGCCGGCAGTGGCGCGAGCGTAGGGGGTTGACCGGAAGCTGCGGCCAGCGCAGCCGCCGCCGATAGCGGCATTAGAGTAGTCGACGCCCGTTCAGATAGCCCATTTAATAATGGCGGGGAGTTTGTACCCTGTTAAATAATTGGGAAATGTGTATAAATGAATTACAGCAGTCCATATTAGTCTATAAATAATCTTAATTGTGCGCATTGAATTACAAAGAAAAGTCAGCCATTGTGAGCAAATGTGGGCTTATCTCTAGATACAGACCGCCCAACAGAAAACCAAATTTTATTCAAATCTATTCCATCCTTTAAGTGTGAGTAATAGATTTATTTATAAAAATAAACTATTTCAATAAAAAAGAAGAATATTATAAAAAATATAGTCAAATTGCAAACCTCGTCCTTTTGCAATGTCGAAATTGGAAGGTCCCCTATCCGTTGACGGAGGTGATAAATAGCAGAAATCCTCATGAAATTTGGTATATTCGTAGCATTTGCACTAGAGGAGGATATAGAATACGCTTCATCTATATTTGTAGCCAAACTAGTAAGATTACAAACTCACATCGACACCTCCAACAGACATTATCGGCTGCAAACTGAAGGTCCACTGTCCGTTGACGGAGGTGATGAGCGGCACGGTATGCACGTTGGTGGGTACAGTGGGCACGCCTGGACCCGCTGCACCTATCGACATTAGTGACGAAGCCTGGTTGGCCGTACCCAGCGCGGACGCAACTGACGTCGACGAACTCACTGTATTCGATGGAAAGGAAATATTTATTGGGCATATTGGGCATCAGTAATTGTATTCTATCTCAAAATATAAAGAATGATATGAGGATTATCGGAAAAATAGAATAAAATTGATTTATAGAATTATATGGTATATTTAAACGTTTTTTACATGTCAGATGTGACATACATTCAAAAACAGTAAACAGGTAATGAGTAAACCATGGACACAAAAATGATGAAAAATCATGATACATGGATGTCACTATTACATTGCTACTAATCAGATGATGTATGTTTGTATGTGTTTACATGCACATGATAAAGTTGCGGGATTCATATAATTTCTTAAATAAATAGGAAAAAACTACTCACCGATTGTGGTAATGACTGGTGCTTTCGCCCTGATTTGCGAAACAGAGTGTGCGGGGATAACGGCGGGGCGCGGCGGGCGGGGAGCGGGCCCCGGTGTGGCTGGCGGTTGAATAGGGATATACACCATCGAATTTTTGCCATTCAGTTCCGATCTTCCTTCATCGGGTTTGCGAGGCGCCGGGAACGTTTTCTTCGCTCTGGGCCTTATCTCTGTCGTTTTAGCCGGCACTTTTTTGGCATTCAGGGGGGTCACTACGACCTTATTAATTCTTACTTCCCGTAAATTCGACGTTGCCGGATTCACAGGTCGGAGTTTGAATGCGTTCATCAGATCCATCTTCTCGTGGTGTCGATCCGCATCATCCAAGTCCATTGGCTCCGCTTTTATTTCTACTTCGACATTGCTGTTCTGTTGTTTCTCTGGAGATGATGCCATCCGTGCGAAAGCCCGTACGCCCACGCGACCTACAACCGGCCTGTCAGCATTGTTTCTAAGTTTCTCGAGATGTGAAACGGCCTCCTTCATACTCCTAACGCCATCAGTACTTGTTGGCGTAAAAACGCTAGTCCCTGTTGGTTCTATAGTAACTTCAATTGTTTTATTGGACGCGGTGCTAGTTGTTGTTGTACAACTGATCTGAGCAGTAGTGGACAGACTTCGGACACTACTAATAGTAGGAAGAAAGGACATTTGATTGTCACTGCTCTTCCCTCCCCGAGCTAAAACTGCAAGGCTTGTATCATCATCAAACATTATGTAACTTTTTTCTTTTATTTTCGAACTTTCTCCATTTTGCTTATTATTTTTTTCACTGCCCACTTGATTACTGTCACCCTCTACGCTTGTATTTGAAATGCTGTTATCTTTTACATGACTGTTATCACTATTTTTGCCGTTTTGCCTTTCATTATTTTTATCAGTCTTTCCTGCAGCAATGCTAGTATTGGTTAACGACTTATTATTTCTAGAGTTTCTGCGCTTCTCTCGTCTAGACTTTTCGTCTTTACTGTTCCTATCTTTTGATTAGATGGTGATTTAAGCACTTTTAGTGACTTTGCCTTTTGAAGGGCACTTTTATCAATCATAACCGTATCTTTCGGGGTACTCGTTTTAACTGCATGTTTATTACCTTTTGATGTTGTTATTATCTTAATAGGAGCCACTCTAGGCGTAGACTTTTCACTTCCACTTGTATTTACTAGTAATGACCTTGAGGTATCACTATTTCTAGTCTTCAATGAATTTTCTGCTTTGTCTTTTGTTTTATTTTCTGAGGATTTCATATCAATGTCTTTGCTACTACTAGGTTCTTGAGGAATAGAGTTATCTAATTTATCATTTGTTAAACGTTTCCTTTTTTCTTTGTTATCCATAATCGTGATAACAGCCTCTTCGAGGTCAGAGCGACGCCGTTTCCTCGAAGCCTCATTCACTTTAGTTCGAGATGGAGAGCTATATGTTTCTTTTGTTTTATCTCTGTCAATAGGTAAAAATATATTATTATTTATAAGGCAAGAATATATGTTTTCTTGTTAGAAAATTTGTTAGAAATGAAGTTTTTTTTTTTACACAATGCAATGTTGAAAGATTGAAATTTAAACATTTTGAAGAAGCCCAAAATTAACATAGGATAGTTTAATTCACAGTTGTTTAATAAGATCTACCGCCAAATGTGTAACAAATACTTACTTATCTAATGAAAAGTCGTCGTCCACTCGAGCAATAACAGCGCCATCGGCCATTTTACGAGCTGGTAATACGTCATCGTTTTCGCTATTATCACTGTAAAAGAAAATGAAGATATCACTCACTCTTTCTAACACAATAAAATACAGGTTCCTTAAAAAACGTACTAGTAAAGTGAACGGTGGGCAAAATAAGGTTGAGAAACTATGCTCTGAAGAAATAATATTTTATGTCTTGTCCCATGTTCTGATAAAGGTATTTTTTTTTAACTTATTGCTCTGTTGTTAATATAACATACTATATATTAAATTTAATCTTACATTGTACACCACATAAAAATATACACATTCATTCCAACCACTGTATTTTTTACTCTTTTTGACTCTCTACTATTATACATGTGAAAGTTTATAAATGTATAGGTGTTTGTGACTCTTTCTTCAAATATTAAATGACTGAAATTTGGTACATGAACATGTTATATCCTAACTTAGAACTTAGGATAGTTAATACACTGAATCACATGATGAAACCACCATATTTTTATTTATTTATTATTCATTTGAAACATGAGATACATGTTGTTAAAAAAACATAAGTACATATTTTGCCACACATAAGCCTGTAAATGTTGAGTCCTTAATACTAACTTTATTTACATTATTTTATTATGTCATTTCAGTATGTCAGTGTTAATTTAATTATTTATTCACTCCACTATACTCATTAACATTTTAATAATAGCAATATATACAGCTAGTAAATCATAAATTTATCAGAAAATACTCACCCTTCACGAATGGAACTCTTGGAACTTTTAGAGTTGGACCTGCTTTTATCTTTTACCATTGGTGATGAGCTATTTGAAGGCCTCTTCTCTTTCATTGGAGTATGCACTTCACCCTCGAAGGACGGAATCTGAAAACAGCGTAAAAACTTTTTGTATTGCTACAAAACAAATATGATTCAGATGTAATCGGATATATATAATGCATGCCCAAAGCGTTAAAATCTAATAAACCTGAATATTTAAAAAAAAATAACAATTGTCTAATATTTTAGCTATTAAAGTACCAGAGGGAGACTTTGTACAAAAGTCGTACAGGGTACAGAGGAATAACACCTGAGTCCTCAGGAATGGCAACGCATGGGGGTTATCATGGGCGAAACAGTATACTCTGTTATGTCCATGGTACTGCTCATGTCTATAGGCGACGGTTACCACTTTCCATCAGGTGGGCCGTCAGCTTGTTTGCCATTCTAAATCTATCAAAAAAAACGTTTTCTTTCTCTTTTGCATAATTTTTTCAATTTAAAAAGACAAAACAATAAACATAAGATAATAGGAGGTTTTAGTTTCTTTGAATGATCAGGTAAATTGAATGCAATTCAATGAATGATAATATGCCTAAATCTAATAAAACTTTCTTGGACAATTAGTTAAGCCATACTCCATTTTGTTAGACAATTTCTAATAAATTTGCTAATTCTTTTTTATTACTTCACAAGGGTGTAACTTTAAATGTATGGCTTACCATAAGTTTGAGTTGTTCATTCAGTTTTGACGGATCGAACTGCGTTTTAAAAGGTGGGTAAACGAATTTACCGTATTTCCGTGAAATATTCCGGATGTGCTGCTCGGCCTCCTGCAATAATCAATTTATATATTACTAAGGATCCACTTCGATGTCGCACATCAACATCAACTTGAAGAATTCTTTTATATTGCTATTGCGACCTTCCATAGTAAGCAAATATTCAATAATTAAAGGCATCTTATTATTGTATTATTGGGTAATTAACGTGATTGTTAGTAATGTAGACTGAGAATCCCATTGCTAGCAATATACCTAATCAGGTCGACCTCCTCGCGTTTCTCCCTGGAAAATATCATGGTTAATTCCTGATGAATTTATCATGATAGGCTAACTGACCTGTTTTCATTCTCATCTATCACCCTTCACTGGTGCTCTGCCAGCGTATCCCGTTAGCGCGGGCGGGGTTACTATACCATTTCCACCCATCAAAAAAAAAATCCTCTTGATACGCCAACTGGCCTGAATTCGTTATCATAGTAGTATGTTATCTTTTACTTGACTGTTATCACTATTTTTGCCATTTTGCTTTTCATTATTTTCATTGGTCATTCTTGCAGAAATGCTAGTATTGGTTAATGACTTATTATTATTAGAGTTTCTTCCCTGGCGTCCCGCCATTGTATACATTAACACAGGTGAGTGCAAAATTTAATTTTCATCTAATTAAAAAACCCACTGCATCAGAGAAGTTATCAAACAGTACCTGCATACTGTCCAATATATCCTGTCTCTTAGTGCGGAAGTTGTTGGGGTCTTTCTCGGAGTACAGGAAACAGTCCTTAGCCGGCACCCAAGCGCGGTCGTGCGCTCCGAAGAATCTCACGTCCACCATGCCCGCGTTGTTCACCGACATGCCCTTCGCCGGCCAATAAGGGAAACCTGTAAGATGAGATGAAGCACATTATTTATAATTTTTTTTTATACGACTTAGAATGGCCAACAAGCTGACAGCCCACCTAATAGAAAGTGGTAACTGTTGCCTATAGACATGAGCAGTACCATGGATATAACAGAGTATACTGTTTTGCCCATTATACCCCCCATGCGTTGCCATTCCTGAGGACTCAGGTGTTATTCCTCTGTGCCCTGTAAATTCACGTCATATCCTTCAAACCGAAACACAGCCATGCAAACACAACTGCTTCACGGTAGAAACACGAATGGGACAGAGTTACCCAAGCAATCGACTTTTGTACAAAGTCTCCCTCTGGTAATGCAATGTTTCTTACTAATACCCACTATATATAATATGTACATACCATTGGATTTGATAAATTATAATAGCTGTGTGTGGTCACAGCATAGAATAGATCACCCGTGGGTGTCGTAAGAGGTGACTAATGGAGGGCAGAGGATGGGCAGAAGCGACCTTCTTAAAACATCTTTAAAACCTAACTGCGGTTGCCAATCTGCCTGTTAAGCGTGTCAACTAGGGGCATAACCTACTAAGGGGAAGGCTTATGTTCAGCAGTGGATAGTTAATGGCTGATATGATTGGGAGAAATTGCATAATAACAAGACTTTCTTTTGACTTTTCATCTAAGAGGGAGACTTTGCCCAAAAGTCGATTGCTTGGGCACCTCTGTCCCATTCGTATTTCTATCGTGAAGCAGTTGTGTTTGCATGGCTGTGTACAAAGTACAGAGGAATAACACCTGAGTCTTCAGGAATGGCAAAGCACGGGGGTGTCATGGGCGAAACAGTATACTCTGTTATGTCTATGGTACTGCTCATGTCTATAGGCGACGGTTACCACTTTCCATCAGGTGGGCTGTCAGCTTGTTTGCCATTCTAGGTTGTATAAAAAAAACAAAAATAACATAGTACACTATATTGCCCATGTTACAATTCGTGTGTTGCCATTCTTGAGGACTAGGGGTTATGCCCCTATACCTTATAATTTCCTTGCCATATCCCATCTTTTAAGCTAAAACACAGTCATGCAAACACAACTGCTTCATGCTAGAAACACAAAACGGGACAGAGATGATGAATGGAACCATAACCCTGCGTACGCCATCAGTATATGCTGCTAGTGTATCAGTGACAAGTGAGAATGATCTGGTTAGTTAGCCTGTTTTACCTTTAAGCTTCGCCCAGAGCAGCACGTGAGGTGTGGAACACACGTCGGTGAACCAGGTGGGACGACGAGCATGCGCGCCTGCGTAACACTCTGGACAAGCCTCGATCTCGCCCATCTCGGCACGACACGAACGAACTAGTCCACGAGCGCCACCGGTCAACTTTGATTGCACTGCAAACATTCAAGTATATTATTGAGACAAGGCAGAATCTATATTAATATTATAATGAGGAAAGATTTAATTATTTATTTCTAATGAATAAACTCGACAACTACTCAATGGATTTTTAAAATGCTTTCACTTATAGAAAGCTACATTATCAGAGAGTTACATAAGCTATATATTATTTTCTAAAATTCTTTCTACCTGTGTGAAGCTGGAACAAATCACTAGTATATAAAGTGACTTAAAGTTCTGAAATTATATAGCACTTAGTGGAATTTCGAGTTTGAATTATTGTATTGCATATCATATAAACATTGTATGTGTATGTAACTTTTTATATATATCTTAAATTTAAAATTTAAGATATATATAAAAAGGACTCTCTGTACAAAAGTATATTATTAAATAAATGACTATCTAAATGACAAAACTGCATGGATTTGAATATTGTATTAATGTGAATTGCATTGTAAATGTAATTATTGTATTTTTTTTAATTAATATTATTTTATATAGTAACTATTATAATTATAAATTGTCGTATCATAAGAATCTATAACAGATGTATATGAATAAAGATGATTGATTGATTGATTTAATGATCCTTGATAATGCATGACATTGCAGGCAAAACCGGCGAATTTAAAAATAAAATTATAAAATAGTACAAGCATTTTTAAAATGAAATTACATTTCACATATAAAATATTTTATTGCATTCTTAAGGGATAAATTTTCGAAAATACTACTACATAATGTATAATAAACTTTATATTTTTTCTAGTTACTTGTTTAAGATCTATTTATGCAGCAGATAGCAAATAAATTTTTGACCGTGTAATAAAATTAACGAGAATCATACAAACTGGCCATGTTTTGTGAAGATCAACATTAACCCACTCAAACATTTGATATGTAAAAAGCTCTTGTGCAAAATTTTACATTTTTCTTATTATTTAGGGAATTTTAATGGAGATGCCAAATATTGCGATATATATATAAGAAAAACTTACATGTATTAAATATAATACTGTTGTGTAGTATCCATTGTGCATCAGCCAGGAAGGCCTCCGTGCTGCCGTATGCACCAGATTGTATGTTATTCTTCATCAGTGTCAGATCCATGGGATGTACTACATACTTGTCGTAATCAGGAAATGTTGTTCGGTCCACTGGCTGCATAAATGGCTCCACCTGGATGAATGGTATAAATTAAATCAAAATTTTGAAAAAAGAATTTAAATCTTTTATTTTAAATTCTTTTTTCAAAATTTTTTGTTTATTACTCTTTAATTTAAAATTAAAGAGTAATAAACAGCGCACGCGCAGCGTAACATAAATTCTTACGTATGATATTTCAATTCGCATTACCAGGTTAATATCACACTCCAAGAGTAACATCAGGCTAATAATTTCATCCCATCGGTCCAGTAATGTAATTGTGATTGAAAGTGATTAAAATATTTCCACTGTATTGGGTCTTCAACTACAATATTTTTTTAATAGAAACTAACTCTAGTTTCTATGAAAAAAATATATAGATATACAATAAGTGGAGTTAGCGTAGATACGCCAACCACAATATAACAATTTTTCAAAAAAAAAAAAAACTGCAACAGTGACAAAATTCATATAAAAATAAAACGGAAGTAAATCCTATAAGCCGTGTGGTCCCGGCATAGAATGAGCCACCCTGTTCTTTCCTGTCGGTGACGTCGGTCGTCGGAGGCGACTAAGGGACTTTAATTGTCCAGGAATGAGCAACAGCGTACCTCTTAAAACATCACCGAAATCGTAACTACGGTTGCAAATCTGCCTGCTAAGTGTGGGGGAACTACTGGCAAAATTCATTTATGGGGGAAGTCTTTGTTCAGCAGTGGACAGTTAACGATTGATATGACGATAATGGAACCGTGTTTGCATTTTAAAAAGAATCATAAAAACTCAATAATTACAGACGTATTGAGAACTTTCATTTTGTAGCTAGTTGCTTAAAAACTAACTATGTACTATTGCGGGGACCGACCTATCAACCTCCACCCGGCAAGCAGTCATGACTACCGCTATTACATACAATTAAATCATTAATACTCTTTGCAAGCTAATGATTCCATGACATATAATTAGGTATTGTACGAATCTAAGTGTACAAAAAAATGCAATTCAGGGTAATTCTCGTTGTTTTCTGAAATTGATTCGACCATACATTATGAATCGAAATATGATTATAAAATTAATTCATATCCATTTACGATATAAAATTAAGTGTAATATTGTTTTGGACATTATTAATCTGATATCGAAACATAGTGGTATCACTTGAAAATACAATAAACATGTCTGCTAATAGAAAAGCATGACAAAGTGATGAATCAAGAAAAACTCAGATACACACAACTACACGTTGTACACACGCACATTGACGTGTTTATTATTAGTATAGAGCGAGAGGGATATATCGATGTTTGGGTATCGATTGGGGGCGATAGAGCGGGAGAGAAGACGGCGTCACGCGTCGCGATCGGGGACCGCGCAGCTACGCAGATAATCTAACAAGGTCATTTTACCAAGCCCGGCCGGTCTGCGCCACGCTACCAACGCTACCCAGACGCTGCGTCGAATGCTACATACATTTTAATACGATCGACACTCCATACAATGGTTTTGGTGAAAGTAACTAATACTCAAGCCTACATAAAACGTAGTTGCATTCACGTGTCGCATAACCATAAATAATAACTATGTAATTCCAATGAATGCACATTCCAGTATACTGAATTATGCCAACCAATTAGTCTCTATAAAATAAACATACAAGAAAACTCTCAAATTATGATAGAAAATTGTAATCTGTAACTATAAATAGGTAGTCGTTTCCATTTATATTCTACTTATTCCATACCCTTTTCAAATCTACAAATATATTATCTACACTTACTATAAAGTTATCTGTCCGTCAGTTTGTTATTCATCATGAAAAAAAATTGATTGACTTTAACCAAATTTTATAATTTGATTTGATAATCTAAATCAGAACAATTTTGTCATTTTGTATTGATATTTCTTTACACCCATACTACGAGGAAATACAATAGGAGTCGTTGTTATAACCTTAGAATGTTGGGGGGGAAGGAATTGTAATTAATGGAAACTACCAGCTCTATTGCTAGCAATAAACCCTGTCAGGTCGACCTCCACGAAGTCCCCCTAGATACCATTGTGCTTAATTTCAGGTGAAATCATCTTTTCATCTTCACTTATCCTTCACTGGTACGCTGCCAGTGTATACCGTTAGCGCCGGCGGGGTTATCATTCCATTATCAACCATTTAAAAAAAATTTAGAATGTTGACAGTCGCACGCATAATAACGGTAGCAGAATAAAACAAAATAATTCGAATCAAATAACCAGTGATATTAAATTCCACAAAATAACATCTAGTTTAGCAAAAATAGTCGTAGTTATATCGTCGTTAAAAATATTTATAATTTAGAATATCTTTAGAATATAAGGCGAAGCATTCTTCAGTAATATTAAAAAAAAAGAAAAACTATAAATATAGCTACAATTCTCTTGTCTATTGATAATAAATAAGTAGATATCTAAATAATAAACTTTATTTTTATTAGATTTAGGTTTAGGTCGTTTTCTCTTAGAGATTTTTTGACCTAATATACTTTTTATCCTTCTCAATAGGACATTTTTTATGTAAACTACGTTCTGTATATAACTGTTTTGGTATGGATATTCTGTTCCAAAGCAATAGTTTCTATAAAAAAAAAATAGGAATTTTCCATCGATCTACTTTTCATGCATGAGACCTTAGTATTAAAAAAAATAAAGAAGCGTATATATTATATAATAAGACAAATAGATTTTTCATAACTGCCATCCTTATTTATATATAGAAAAATATAAGGATAACAGTTGCTGAAGGTTAGGCAATAGAGACATTACCCCATTGAGTTCCATCATTCTCTCCAACGCATGCTTCAGCAGTTCTTGTAGCATCCCCAGTGATATTTTCTTCATAGCTACTGATCTGAAAGTTAATTGTTGCGAATATGCTTAGTTCATTTTTTAACCCTTAAAATTGAAAGCTGTTTTTAAAATAACAAATGCTTAATTTGGATTGAAACATAGATATGCTGAATAAACAATTATCAATTTTCAAAGACTATAAAAACAAATATTGCAACTAATTATTATGGCTCTATATATACAAATCAATAAATTTATATTAAAAACTAGTGTTTGAATGAGTTTTTACTAATAAATACTAATTTATAATCCTTACTAATATTATTAAATAAGAAAGTAAGTTTTTTTTGTTACTTTATAATGCATTAACAACTAACCAATCGTTTAGAAATTTGGTATACACATACTATATGGGGATTGTAATGGATATAGGTTACTTTTTACCTCAATTCTGTAAACGTAATCCGGTCATGTAGATGAAGTTACGGGCAAAAGCTAGTATTTTATAATTCACTGTTTGTGTTATATATATGTGTATCTTTATTATTTATTATACATACAACAGTGTTCGAGACTAAATCTTCAGCCATATTTATAGAAATAAAAACAATAAGATATAAGTGAGTACTTCTAAAATTTTAAATGTACAGACTGATATGTTAAACAGAAACATCAGAAGTTATTCGTCAATAATATATTTTAATTTTAAGTCTCTAGGGGCACATAAAAATAATCAGTATTACTTATAGATTATCAGTTCCCGCAATTTCATCTGTAGGACCAGGAAAGAAAAAGTTACCTGTGTTCCCTCATTTCAAATAATATGTGTATGGCAAATTTTTCATAATTAATTGAACCATTAAGGTGCCAAAGAGTAACAAAGAAACTCCCTTTCACATCCTTAATATTATGATATTAAGAAAAAGAATTATTCTATTCAAATATATGTAGCATGCATCTCACCTAGTCTCTGAACTTTCAGCATGCAGCACACCCATACACTCAGGGCACACCCAACTTTTTTCTGGATCAATTTTACTTCGCTCCACCCATGATAGGCACTTATAGTGAAAGGATCTTGGACAGACTGTGCACTGCATTGGTACATGTGTCTTCTCATTGGCTGGCTGCTCAACAAGCCAGTGGCATCTCCAACAGTAGGCATCAGACCGTAGTTTATTGGATTTTTCCTGGTTCTGTTTATTAAAAAGTATAAATTAAAAAAAAATATATGAACATCGAAATCCGATTTAAAAAATCATAATAAGTAAACCTGACAAAAAATATGTTTATTCCTTGACAAAAGACATATCGCCGCCATTTTGAAATACAATAAGTGTCATAAATATTTTGTGCTATATTAAAAAAGTTACTTAATCACTTGGAAAAAAATAATATATTATGATGTTAGGTACTTTTTTTAAATTGAATACTATTTTAAGTAACAAAAAAGATTTTAGAAAGCACACAAAATTACTAGTATTATTTGTAGATGGACCTTCCATGCTGTAATAAATACTATATGGAAAATATTAAATGGCATACCTCAAAAGAAAAGTACATTATCCCATTCATTGTTGAGACCCCCTACCTGTTTTTATGAATTTTAATAATAATATTCTGTAACCAAAAATAAGTTAAAAGTATTTTTAACTTACTTCAATGCCACCCACTTTTTTCCTTTTGGATGTAGTTGAATTTGAGTGGGTTGTATTAGTCAATACATTGGTCTGTTGTTCCTTACTTTTACTTTCTTCTGTCTCCCCATCAGACACCTCATCAGAAAACTTTTGTCCTTTGGTGACTGAATTGAGAAACAATTTTACCTTGTTTACAAACTCGGGGTTTTGTGATCTCATAGATCGTTTGACTGCTGTCTTCTCTGACTTCTCACTGGAGTTGCTCTTCAATGAGTTGGTACTGCTTCGTCTGGCCCCTGATATTTTATCGGCTTCCACAGAAGCATTCAGACTTGTGTTTGAAGTATCTAAATTAGATCTTGACTTCCTTGTCTTGCTAGTAAGCTGTGTGCATTCACTAATAATCTTTGACTCTTTGGCAGAATTAATCAGAGACTTGAGCTCCCTACTAATGCTTTTATTATGATCTTTCTCTGATATATCAGAGCCAGTATCAATCTGAGAATCATTAGAGGTTTCTTTTTCTATTATGATTTCTATAGGGACACTATTATCACTCCTAGCTGAAACTTCTTTCTTAGAACTGTCAGCTTCCTCATGTTTACCATTAATTTTTGTATTTTCTGATGAAATTTCTTTAATTGGTGTTTTCTTTATAGATTCTAGAACTTGAGCTTGTATGGTTAATTTTGTAGGAGTGTCATGCTCTTCAGACTCATTAGTAGAGATTTTATTTGGAGATTTCTGTGACTCCTTAACAATTTCTGTATTTTGAGAATTTTGTATTTGCTTATTTAGGGTGTCTTTATTTGGAGAAATGTGGGTTTCCTTATTTGGAGACATCTTAGATTCTTTATTTGGAGAACTCTGGGTTTCTATAACTGGAGAAATCTGGATTTCCTTAATTGCTTTACTGGGTGAACTCTGGATTTCCTTAATCACTTTAAGGGGTGAACTCTGGATTTCCTTAATTATTTTAATTGGAGAACTCTGAATTTCCTTGATTGATTTAATCGGAGAACTCTGGACTTCCTTAATTGATTTTTAATCTTAATTGTTTTATTCAGAGAACTCTGGACTTCCTTAATTGATTTAATCGGAGAACTCTGGACTTCCTTAATTGATTTAATCGGAGAACTCTGGACTTCCTTAATTGATTTAATCGGAGAACTATAGATTTCTTTAATTGCTTTATTTGATAAACTATGGGTTACTTTAACTGGAGAACTCTGGGTTACTTTAATTTGAGAATTCTGAATATCCTTATTTGAAGAATTTTGGATTTCTTTGTTAGGAGATCTGTGAGTTTCTTTATTCAGAAAAAATTGAGTTTCCTTACTTGGTGATTTCTTAGTTTCTTTATTTGGAGAACTCTGGAATTCTTTACTAGGAGATCCCTGAATTTCTTTACTCAATGATTTCTGGTTATCTTTATTTGGAGATCTTGGAATATCAGTCTTACTTGAAGAGTCTACAATATCTTCAGAGTGTGTTAATTTAACACATGACATAGTTTTATGATGCATATCAGTACTTGGTATCACTTTTTGTCTTAAAGACTTATCAATCAACTTTTGAGAATCTTGACTCTTAGCTGGAGATATCCGAGGAGATGAAAGACTATTTGGGTTATTATCATCCTCCTGGCTGGTCTGGCTATCATTGTTATTGAAACAATTACTACTCGTATCATCATTGACTTGCTCCACTATCACAACCATCTCTACATTGCCGTCAGAGCCAGTCACTTCTTGCATATCCATGGCATCTCCGGTAGTGGACGACACGTCTGTCTCCATGTGGGTTACCGAGCTGTCTTCCATCACCTGTGATAAAACATCTGATATTTTTAGCTTGACCTTTGATGAATGAAAATAAATGGAATCTGAATAGAACTTTAACGTCACATGTTTCCATCACCGAATATATGAGAACCGGTCATTAAACCAAGCTCAACTCAGCCACCCTACCCTACATAGGTACCTACATCGGTGCGATTATACAAAATACATCCACAACTTACCTCTCGTAGACAAAGTCTTCAACTCTCAAACGGAAACTGACTTGTAACACTTGATTACTTTTAATTAGATTTCCAACAGTTGGATATATCATTTATATGATTCAAATTCCACAATAGCAACAAATTTAGCTAAAAAATATTAACGAACGGAAGAAACCACACATCGCCATCGCTCTTATGTCTATGTTCAGCTCAATCAGCTCTGTTGGTTGGTTGATAGGCTAGTTGAAAAACGGCACTGCTCGTTTCATTCAAACAAAGCTCGTTTCCTCTCTTTTATATTACTATATCTATCTTACTTTTGCGTCTACTTCAGTATATATCAGTACTGTTTTTTAATAGCTGACATAATTATATCTATTTCTTTCTACCATTAAAATGAACAGTTTACCAGTATGAACTTAGCTAAATGTCGCTGTTTATAGTGTTGTATATTACAAGTTGTTTGTTTTTTTTATTTATTATTATAGTTTTATCGATTCTATAAAATGAAAAAATCACATATCTTTAGATTCACGTTATTATTATGACGTAAAAGTTATATTTTTAAATAGTTTAAAATGTAACTTTACGAATTTAAAATACTCGTGCAACTAATAATTAACCAATGATTCGATGATAATAGATCTTTCTACAGCTCTCATGCGAAAATTTATGAACTGAAATGTATTTTATCTATCCTTATTTACAGAGCATAGTCATTGTTTTACATTGTAATAAGATATAACTATTCTAAAATAAAATTAATGAAGATAATGGAATAAATAAGATAATAATAATAAAATTAGTAAATCAGCACTACACATGGTCCTCATGCAAAACAATGAGATTAAAGTTATATATCCGAACCTCACAAATATAAATACTTATTGAAATGACATTTACTTATAACGAACTTAAAATTAACATTATTTTTACATATTTCTTTATATAAAATTTATGTATTAATTGACTTGATCATTAGAATTAAAATCGATTAATATAATTAATTGATAAATTTCTTTCAGTCGACATCACTAAGGAACTGCTGTTTAATGTCAATTTTGACAATTTGCTTTGCCAGCCGATGTAATTTTAATTTTTATTAAAGTTCTTGATTTTGATTTATAATTAAAATATCGTTTTTGACACAAAATTTAATAAATACTGTTAACTTAAAATTGAAAAGTTATACAGTAATAAAAATATTATCCAATGTTACCACCTTGTGTGTAGTAATAAATTTAATCATAAATAAAAGGCAATGATATGGAATTTATTGAATTGATATTGATAAATAAACTAGACGGAGTAATATTAAAATATCCACATCATGAGAATGTCGATGGCACAGTGTGTATTACAGGACATCATCTTATTTTGAGTTCTAGGAAAGAAGGCGTTCGCGAACTATGGGTATGTAATCTAATACTTTATAGCATATTTATAGGTGTCCCTAATTTCAACGTTCAACGGAAGGTGGGTAACAGGGAGCTATATGACGCTTTTGAAAAAATATTAAAAAAAAAATTCGATAATGTAATTAAGTGTTCTATCAACCACAGCTACAATTTAAAGATGTAACAATGACATTAAAAAGGAATTATTTGGTTTTTATTATTCTCCGAATTATATATATATATATATATATATATATATATATATATATATATATATATATATATATATATATATATATATATATATATATATGTCACTTTGACAAATCATACTGTAAAAAAAATTTACCATAGGCATAGCAGCAAGTAATTTCATAAGTTCTAGTATTTTATAAGGGCATTAGTATTCATAAGTTTTTATATTACTGGAATATATAAACTCTTTATTAGTGTGAATTTCATTTATATTTTTGAGCTTACGTCTCTACATTTTATTAATTCCAGCTCCTCCACAAGAATATAGACAGCATAGAAAAGAAAGAAAATAAACCAAGTAGTGGAGTGATGCAAGGAGGTTCACTGTTCCTCAAATGCAAGGATCTAAGGATATTCCAGCTGGATATAGCTGCCAGTAATGAGTTAAATCTCGTTGCACAAACTTTGGAAAACCTTTCCAATTTGCAAGATCCTGGGCTTTTCTATCCATTCTTTTATAGACATATGCATCCTATTATGGAGAATGGTTATACACTTTATAGGTATATAAACAAATTGTATTTTATATAATTACCCCATATGGCATCACCCATGGTTGTATTGTGATTTTGAATAGCCTAAAGCTTCATTACTGGATGTTTTATTAATTGCAAAATAGATTAATATATCCAAACAAAAAATACTTGTTTTATATATTAGTATAGATTTCTTAAACTTACAGTCTTCTAACATAATAAAATGAAAAAAAAAAAAAACAATAATACTCATGAGTATTAATATGAGATGTAAATGTATTATTTTGTTATAATATTTTTGCAATCTATATTTCAAACTCTTTAAAATATCACACTGCAGCCTGTAGTATAATACTGATATCTACTCTTTAATGCTATTGAATTTATACTTTTTTTACTGTATGCCTTATCCTTATCTCCATAGTTTGTTAAATAAGTTTGATTTACACTTTGAAAATCATTTTCATCTTTAAAATCATTGGTGTATTTGATATTATTTACCAGTGGAAGGTCAGGCTCCTTTAAGAAGACACATGTCTTATCTATTTATTGTTGTGCATAGTAAAAACCTCTACTCATATTCTTAGTTAAATTCTAATTCTGGATAATTCTAATTTTGGAGTGGGCACAGCCCTTTACATTTACATGAAACATGCCAGCAATACAATTTTCATCATCCATTTTTCAAATTTGGTTACTATAACAAAGCTCAACACTGGCATTTAAGAAACTATAAAACATATAAATATACATTATAAATATATATGAACATGAAACTATATTCCTTTAGATAGATTTGTAGAAGTGGTTTGAGTACTAGATTGGAAGTTTTTATATACCAGGTTGAATTAAAAATTATTATAATAAATGTGAAAGTTTATAACAATGGATGGATTGTTACTCTTTCATGCAACATCTACTAAAAGGATTTGAATGAAATTAGTTGTAATGAATTTAGTACACGAGAAGGTAATATCCTAACTTAGCACATAAGATATTCTATATACTGATTCATACAAGTAAAGCTGTGGGATAGAACTAGTACTCATATTTTTAAAACATGCTACAGTAAAAAGTAATTAGTAACCTGTCATACTGCCTCATTCTGTTTCGAGCATCCTGTAGTTCAGTATTATAGCTGTAAAAATTATGATAATCACTTTAAAGTAATAATCCACCATATAATATTACTCTTGATTTTCTAGTTTGACTAACAATTTGTGTATTTCAGTTTAGAAGAAGAATTTACAAAAGTCCTAGCCACAGAAGAGTGGAGAGTGTCACGAGTCAATCAAAACTATACAGTATGCTCGAGCTATGGAAAGGCTGTGCTAGTACCGAAGAGCATTGATGATGAGACTCTTATTGCTGCGGCCACTTTTAGACAAGGGGGAAGGTTCCCTGTTCTTTCATATAGGCATAATAATGGGGTATTTTTTTTTAAATCTATTTAATCAACCAACTTCTAAAAGGAGATTCTCATTTAGTATTTTTTTTAGTTACTTCATAACTCCATCAGTTCTAAACTGATTTGGAAAATTCTTTTTTTATCTGAAAGGATATACTTACAGAATGGTCCAATGGGAATTTTATCAAAATCGGTTCAGTAGTTTAGTTTTTAGATCAAAATAGGTTTTGCCACAATTGAAGTCAGTTTTTTTTGTTGGACACAAACTTTAATTATAAAAATCATAATATTGAAAACGTTCAGAATTTTCGATGTAAAGAATAAAATAATGGATTTATACACAGAAGTTTCTTATGTAGTGTAGGTGAATTCTAGGGCTTATCAATTACAGTAAACTATTCGCCGTTAATTGCATGTTCTCTTAGGTGTAGTTCAGTTGATTTTCTATATTGTATTAAGAGTTTTTATTATTTTATTGAAATTCAGATATAGGTTCTATAGCCATTTCTCTCTTTTTTTTAACATATATGTAGTACCAGAATCTGAACAATTCTTTACTACCATTCATTCAAAAGACATGCCTAGGAAGAACATATATCCCAAATAGTCAAGTAATTGTTGGGGGCATGCCAAAGACTACACCACTTATTGTTCCTATTACTATGCTATTTTCTTTTATACTACTAAGGTGGCAACCAAGCATATAAATATAAGCCTGCAATATCAGAAACATTACACACGTGTTGCATTCTACAACTTATTGTTTATTACTGTTAAATAAATATTATAAATGATAGTTTTCTGGAGTCTTTAATGCTTATTTCATTACTTTTTTTTTTTCTTTTTAGAGCCTCCTGTAAAATTTTAAAAGTTTTTTTTTTCTGTTTTCTAGGCAGTATTGATTCGTGCTGGTCAACCACTGTACGGCCCGAAACATCGTCGTTGTCGGCCTGATGAGGCGATTCTGAACACTGTCGTGGCTGTGGGCACTAAGGGTGTCATATATGACTTGCGTAGTTCTAATTCTATCTCACAGCAGCAGAATAAAGGTACTTACACAAGACTTAATCTCCATTTATTATAAAATAAAAAAAGAAAATAGTAAGATTTTTGTCTTTTGCCCTCTGGTTGAAAAGGAGAAACATATATTACATAGTCACCCAATTATAATGGAAAAAAGTTATGCATGAAGATGCTTTTAATTCAAATTTATGCCTAGCATTTTGCCCATTACTTTGTACGCGTGGATTTCAGAAGTAGAAAAACCAATAAAATAAATCAAGCACTTCTAAGATAAAAAGATATTCAGAGACACAACTGCGATAATTGTATCCAATTTGGTGCACTAGTTTTTGTGTAATGCCAGGACAGACAGGAGGCAGGCAAAATTTCTAAAATAATATTGTTTTAGCTACTATTGCTTTTATTGAGGTCCATCATATCAATTTTCCTTAAATACCTCTTGTTTAAAGACGTTGTTTAGTTGCATTTTGACGTTAAGCAACATTGTTTTATTTCAGGTGGTGGTACAGAGAGTAACTCCAATTACTCTCAATGGAAAATCTACAACAGATCAATGGACGAAGTGGACAACCAACAACAACTCTTAGATAGTTTTTCTAAATTAATTGAAGGTACATTATATTTTTATCACTGTTCAGTTCTAAATATCAGAATTAATTAATTGTTAATTGTTGAATTAATCACGATGGGCTAACTGACTTCCCTTTTCATTCTTATCTGTCACCCCTCATTTGTGGCCCGCCAGATATACTGGTGGCGCACGTTTTAATATAAAGATTTCCTGATATCGAATTAAAATTTCAATTTTAAAAAATAGGTTTATGAGAATGATGTTTTAAAATCCACCTCAATGTATTCTAACACTGTCATCATACAGATAAAGATAAATTTATTTGCATAAACGCGTTTGTGTATTATCTTCCTACACTAGAATATGGACGGATGTTCACTGCCATATTCGTATATTTTGCTGACATTACCGTACAAAATATGCACAGAAAATAATGTTTATTTCTCAGTATAGATACAGAGATATTTCAGAGGCGATAACTATATAATACTTATATGTTTCAGCGTGCAACGATCGCGAAATATCAAGCGATAAGTGGGTGTCGAAGCTGGAGTCGTGCGGGTGGCCGGAGAGCGTACGGAACTCGCTGCATACTGCATGCATTATCGCTCAGCACATACACCAAGTATGACCTCATAGTATATAGATAGATAGATACTCTTTATTGTTTCCTCCAAAAGATTATTACAGTAGTAAACTTATTATAAATAGATACAAAAAATTATAAGGAATGTTCACACTGAGAAAACAATGGGGGGCCTTATAGCTAAAAGCGATCTCTTCCAGGCAACCTTTGAATGGAGAGGAGTAGTTATATACTACATTTTCCTTTCGAGTCTTGCTTATCTGTATATTATGTCTCTATCTTCATATAAATTAATAATATTATGTAGTATTTGAGTTGAAGAATTGTTTTTTATCCCTGTCAATCAATTAATATATCCTAGTGTCGTGCGGACCAAGTTGTGGGTAAAATCTAGTAAAAAAATAAATTAAATAATAATAAAGGATTTTTCCAGGGAAATGGGAGTTTTTTTTGGTGGATGAAAATGATATGGTAACCCCGCCTGCGCTAACGGGATACGCTGGCGGAGCATCAGTAAAGGGTGATCGATGAGAATGAAAACAGGCCAGTTAGTCTATCATGATGAATTCAACAGGAATTAACCATGATAGTTTCCAGGGGGAACCGCGAGGAGGTCGACCTGGTTGGGTATATTGTTAGCAATGGGATTTTTAGTCCCCATTACTAACAATCCCTTTCCCCCCGGGAAATGGGAGTTAATGGGATTCACACGGGTGAAAACATGCATTGTTTGCTCCTACTTGAGGGTTATAACTTGACAACTATTGCCAGTTCAGCTAGTAACTATATAAAAATATATAAACTTACTATGAAAACTAATCTTCATGATTATGTTCACAGAAAGCTGAACCCGTATTGATTCACGGCACGCGTGGTGAAGATGCGACCTTGCTTGTGTGTTCATTGGTGCAGATCATACTGAATCCCGACTGCAGGACTATAAGGGGGTAAGAACCTTATTAATGAAGCAAATAAGTACCATAATTCCACTAATTGTATTTATAGTACAGTCAGCCCTGAAAACTAAGGGACATATTAAAGTTTCAAAATACCTTATTCATATATATATAAGTCTATGTATAATGTTATATATATATATATAAACGATTTCTTCATGTATTAGCCATATATCTAATACATGAAAAATACATGTTTACAATCTAAATATATAAATATTTATAGAATCAAAGTGATTGTTAATCTGTGTTCTATTAAATGACCTAATATCATGTAAATATGTATGTAAACATTTCACGTGTAAACGCACCTTTAACTTACTTGCCGGCTCAACTGACCTTTAACTTTTTTTTTATATTTTTTTTAAATTTACTGCCTACATTAACATACTAATAAAATAGAAATAATATAGGATAAGAGTCAACAATATTTTAAAATTACTGGTTGATGGTTTCCAGAGGGGACTACGGGGAGGTCGACCTGATAGGGTATATTGCTAACAATGGGTAGTCCGCATTACTAACAATCCCTTTCCCCTTGGGTCAAAGGTTAATGAATCTCTTTTGTGTTCTTAACCAGGTTACAAGCTCTGATAGAGCGGGAGTGGCTGCAGGCGGGTCACCCGTTCGGTGCTCGGCTGCGTGGTGGTGCCTACAGCTCGCACTCGTCGCATCACACGTCGCGAGCTGCGCCCACCTTCCCTTTATTCCTGGACTGCGTGAGACAGTTCCTCGAACAGTTCCCATGCAGTTTCGAGTATCGTCAGTCCTTCCTCATCACGCTCTTCGAGCATTCTTATGCTAGTCAATTTGGTAAGTAATTATTGAATCAGTCCACTCGACATATGCCTCACTATAACGTCTTCTCTTTGAATCCGTGTGACAATTCCTATGCACTATCTAATTTCTTCTTTCATTCTCTACCACGCAGTTTGCACATTCTTACGCATCAATATGCAAGTGGTAATTTTTTTTATATCACTGAGGTGGCAAACAAGCATACGGCCCACCTGATGGTAAGTGGTTACCGTAAACTATGAACACCTCCAATACCAGAGGTATTACGCGTGCATGCCGCATGCATGCCACACCAACCTTCCGCCGTCCCTGAATAGGCATGATGACACTAACTAAGAAGGACTGAAATCACGGTTTCATGTAATTTTCTATGATAGACTGATTTATATTGAAACATTTGGTTACAATACAAACGGGATTATATTTATTTTAGTAAAAGTAAAAATTCAAAACATCAACCCACCATGATAGATTGAAAACCAATCAGGAGCATGTGATGTCAGCCTTTCGGAATCAAATTATCCATTATGTATATATTGATGGTAGGTGCTCCTTGGTCTCTTTGGGTTGTATGCAGAACTGGAAAATAAATACGATATGTTAACATGACTAAAACGATGGTCACGGTGAGGGAAGGCATTTTGAGAAAACCTGCTTGTTCAGACAACAGGTGAATGTGTAACCACGATCCAATCTGGTATGTAGGCATATTATTTTTTATCAAGTCTGAGAATCGGAACTACTAATTAATACACACCATTGAAAAATATAAAACATGGATAGACAACTTATTTATCAATATTGTAGAGAAATCAGTGGGTAAATGCCTATACTTTCTGTAACTCTCAGTGATATGAAACCTAACATCAAAGTTTGGGGGGGGGGGAGAGGGGAGGAATTGTTAGTAGTGTGGACTCCCAGTTCCATTGCTAACAGTATACCTTGTCAGGTTGACCTCCACGTGGTCTTGGAAACAATGGTGTTGAATTCCAGATGCATTCATCACAATGGGCTAACTAAGCAGCCGTTTCATTCGGACCTATAATCCCTTACTGGTGTGCTGGCAGTGTATACCGTTAGCGCAAGGCGGGGTTACAATTTCATTATAATCCATTAAAAAAAAAGATCATTAAAAATTTTACATATTATTTGTAATCTCTTTGACTATACTATTCATGTATAAAAAATAAATAATACGGTTTAGGGACATTCCTGTGCGACAACGATCAAGAGCGCGAGTCTCGAGGCGTATACGAACAGACGACCAGCATCTGGTCGTGGGTGAACCAGCCGGATGAGCTCACAACCTACATCAACCCGCTGTACGACCCTACCCCCACGGTCATATGGCCCTCGGTGGCTCCTATGAGTTACGTCATATGGGAAGGTAAGAACCCAACTGGATTAATATTAACTCTAACGCCTTACTTGCACGTTTTTAGCAAATAAATTTTATTATTAATATAGCGCGCATACTTTCTATTTCCTTTGATTTTATCGAAATATTTAAGTAAGTGTAGATTATATTTAAGTAAAAACTTAGTTATTTAGTTATTCGCCACTCAACTAAATTATTAAAGCAAAATTATTCGTCTCGTTGTCTCGAACCGAACAATATTTCGTCTGTTTGTATCGTTCAAAAGAGTTTCAATTTGAGCTGTATGTTTAAAATAGACAGTGATAACTTAAACTAAACTTAAAACTGATTCCATCCTGTTTTTGTTTAGTCTTGACTTCTTTTCTTTACAACTTAATTGCTTTGTCAGGGCATCTAATTCATATATCTCGGCTCCGTTCTAGATATTATACAGACGTCCCAGATATACTATGGCTGCATTTTCAATACTGTGTTTTATTATGTTGGCAGAACTGTATCTCCGTTGGTTGATTGAGCAACACACGGAAGAACGGGAGGAGCAGTACAGAACAATTAGAGCTCGCGAACAACAATTGCGCTCTCAGGCGCAGCTACTACGAAGGGAGCTGTTCGACATCGCGCATCAGTACTACGGAGACGGGAAACAACAGGTTATTAATGATAAGTAGCCAGGTTATGATTAGATTATGGCGGGAAGTTATTGACACTTTTAATTTTCAAAATGTCATAATATTTTAATATTTCAGTCTCAATTTTGGTTAGTTGCGTTATATAAATCTCTATATGGAATGAATAAAATATTATTATTATTGCGTTATATATTTTTATATGCAAGCAGTTATTTATAAAAGTATTTTCTTACACTTCAAGATTGTGATGAGGTGATGTATACCAATTAGAGAGAAAATGATACTTATGAATGTAGTTTCGACTTCGAGCCTACTTTCAGCAGGTTTGCTGCCGAAATTGAAACCGAATTTTCGTGTTGGGTACTATTGTAGTGATTTCTTATTAATTTCATATATTCTATGCCTACTCATAAGGTGTATGCGCACTTATCCTCGTCGAACACGAATTTTATCTTGTTATTAAATCTTAGAAAACCTCGCTCACCGATTTGCGTTGAATTGCTAGATTATACGGAGTTAAATCGAAACTTAGTATACTTTAGAGAGTATTTTATCAGTTATACTGAATATTTCACCAATGAAACACGGAATTAAAAACGACAAAATTTTTTACTGCTCTTATAACTAACACTAACACTGACGCGCTCAGCTGTTTAGTTACTATGGAAAATTTATAATTTATTGTCGTTTGCCGAATTTTTGATTCGCAAAATTTCTGCTCTGATATTTTATAGCATGTGTAGATTTCTTTTTTAATAACCGCCTACGATTTTAATTTTTCTCTGTATAGGTATACAGGGTGAATATCCGATAGATATAGGTATATCGATTAGTTATTTAGATACAATAGCGAATTATTGAGGATTCGGTAACAAATTCTCAATAAATGCCAAAAACGTCATTGATTCGATGACGCGATTGGGAGCGGTTTGCAGGCGACTGGCGGTGTACTTTGTAACGCTATTCTTTCGGTGCGGATAAGTGCGTGTTCACCTTTAAACTAATTATATAAGATCTTCAGCTTTTTATATTGGACCTAATTATTATGTTACAAAGTAACTAAATGGTGCGTGCTTATACACCAATATGTAGATAATTAAGTTTAAACTTAAGACAAATAAGACTGCCATTTTCATATTGCTATACCATAATAATTGATTTATCCTAAATCTCGCCTTTTTGCCACAAATGTGTGAAACAGAACGTACTTACAAAGACTTCTAAATACAGTATAATTAAAAATCCAGATATTTATGAAAAAATTATTAAATTTATGAAAATGTCCGGTTTTTTGGCGCATTTATTACTAATGTTGATAAGAGATTTGCAACATATTATTTACAGATTAGCTCTCTAACCGCCATACTTATGTAAATAATATTATTTTATTATAGTAATCATAGCCCTTTCTCTTTATTGTCGATTACCTATGTGATAAGTATAATTATGAATAAATCTGATTTTCTCATACTATATATATATTATTATATATAATACGTTATTTCATGCGAGATATGTTTACGGAAAAATTTACAAATATAACCGCGTAGTAAATCTCGCATTAGGGACTCATTGACACTCTTTGAAATTGCGTATATGTGTGAGTGAGCCGTGTATTTACAAGCGAACTAACGCGCTATGATAATATTTCATTAGTGATTATTCATGCGAAATAGTGATGTGCCGTGTCGGCCATTTTTTGTATTCGAATATTTTGGTACTCATTAAAAAATAATCGGAGAGTAAGAAGTACGTGTATGGATATTCGAGTACTTCATCGGATTCCATATTGTTTTAAACTTTTCTGAAGCTTACTTTTTGTTTTGACCGTTGATAATTAAGAAAAAATTCAAAATTATGAAATCATAAAATAAAACAAAATTTTTTGACAAGCATGTGACTAATATTCGAGTTCTAGAAGTACTTGAATCTTGTATTCGAGTCAGCTTGACTTGGCACATCACTAACGCGAAGTCTTTTTTCTCGTACATGTAGTCACATCTAGGGAAACATTTCACATATTATGGCTTTAAGAGAAATTTCATTAAATTAATTTGAAGACACTAATGATTATATAATTTTAGTATATATTACGTAATATACTAGAAATAGGTTAGACTTGCAACATTCCCTTCCTCTATTAAAATAGAAATATTATTCATAACATTATGGTACAAAAAAACATATATGATATCTTAATATTGATTGAAACAGAAAATTTTATTTAAAAAAATATTTTTTTTTTAAATAAGCAACTAACTCAATCGAATTTAGGCTTTGTGATGTTCCATTTTTATTATCTGCGTTCAATATCGCCCGCATGGGTATAATTATGTTACCTCTATAGAAATTTTGGGTTAATGTGCTTACGGTATTGAGGGCAAGAAAATCAAAGCTTACCAATACGTCTTCCCACAACAATTTTTATTTTATTTCACACGCTGTATCATAAAGTTAAAACGTGCAACTATTTTTGTAACTCGTTAAAAAAAAAAACGAATAGAGATTATTTATTCGGCACGTATTATTTTTAAATTCAGACTTCTATGTGCAGTGTTCAAGTATTCTATATACATTAAGCCAAAAATATTTTATATTTTGACGACCATAATGTATTTATTGTATTTATAAATATTATAAAATTTTGTCATAGATTTTATTAAGTAAATATAATAGTATCGTCATATACTTTTCATGAAAATATGTATACTTAAGTGGCGGCCTAAACTATTGTATTAAGTATGGAATTTAACCATTCTGTTTTAGTACTAGATTTGTTATAAGTAATTTTATAAAGAACTAACTGTAATTCGCGGCTTTGCACGTGTGAATTAAAGTCAATCTACCCTGTATGTATTAAATTCACCCATGTATTAAATTCCATCAAATCTGTTCGCTTAAAAAAGCTATATATTCTAATGCAATTTTCGACAATTTATTAAATTTTTTTCGACATAAATTATTATAATTAAAATCATGTATGAACATCACATTGTCCATGAAATATACATACTTATTTACCTTTAATACTTTAATGCGGAATCTATGATATAAAATAACAGGTCAGTATTGAGTACGAGTCTTAAAATTCGATACTTATTTATGTAGGTACAGCTTGGATAAAAGATTTTAATATCGTTCAAATATATCACTTTAGATCCATGTTAGAAACAATACACAAGCAAAATATACATAAAAATAAAACATACATTTTAATATCCAACAATTCGATAATGCTACACGTGTAACCCTATTATTATGATGTGAAAGTTCAAAATAATTTGTACAGATTTTCCTAGTATGTATTTCTCTATTCTCATCGATACAAAGGAATGGAAAGTTGATATCTACATTTGGAAAAATGCTATTTGTGTGTACAATTGTTTTAGAAAGTATTTTGTGTATGATAATGACCCCACAGCGTCTGTAATGTGGTAGTTACCCGCATTCCGTGAAGTCGGAGTCGGGATTATAGACATAGCATGCGAAGACGAAGAACACGGGACTTTAAAGTCTTTTGTTTACGCAGCTGTCAAATTCTGTCCGCGGATAAAATTTCCCGATGCATTTGCCTTTTAAGTCCAACGAGGGACAGCTCTATTCTAAACACAGTACCAGACTTAGGAAAGGTTCAGAGACCCGATCCCGAAAGCCGAGAGGGGCGTCGAAGTTTAAAGGTTCACATAAAATACGTCCTGTAAATATCGAATATGTAAATATCTTGTGACCATTTTCTACGTCGTCAGAGGAGGATGGGCACGAGGGGACGCCTCAATAAAGGTCACAGCATTGACCTTTGTTTTTTTTCGTCACCGCAAGTGTGGGCGCCATTAGCAATTTGCCCAGTAATGCTAAGTAAGCTAAAGCCAGCTCTGCCATAATAAAACACCTCAAATTGTATATTCTTCATACAGCGCGTATTACGCAAACACGAAACTTTATCCGCAGACAAAATGTCAGACGTTTGAAAAGGCTTATACTTCGGGTGCACGAAGTTCCGGATTTGATCTCATTCGGGCTAATTTGTAACAATTTGATTTGTATTACGTGTTGTATAATTCTTACAGCAACGGTTCTATCGAATTAATATAAAAAAAAATCATTTTATTGTATACCTATTAACCACCAGGCCGTTAATTTGTAACCAGCCAATTGTAGTACAATACTGCAGCGGCCAGCAACTGAGGCATTGATGAACGAACGTGCAAATTTGGGCCGAGGTGTAGCCGAGGCACACATACGTGAGTCCATCAATGTCTAGTTGTGGCCAAGACTTGTATACTACTTTTCTCAAACAATGCGCGGAAATTAAAAACAAAATTTTACTTTTTAAGTTCAATGACGAATAACGAACAATAATATTTTTTCACGCGCCATAATGTTCCTTTGTTTTTTTTTTTCAATAGACAGCTTCTTTTTGCAAGCCAGTTCGAAATTTAAATAAAACATTTTATTAGTTACCTCCCTGGTAGCCATGTTTCGAAGTAAAAGGTCATTCCATTTTTAAATTACAGGATAGATATGAGTTTACATAGTAATTTATCTGGCTGCAAAACACGACAGATATGGACTTTCATACAACTTTTGCCGGCCGCTGCCCGCATGTATCTGGCCAGTACGGCAATTTTGATTTATCTCTAAGAAGATTGTCAAAATAATGCTCACATTTCCAAGCATGTTTGAGAAAATGTGATTATCTGATTTTTGTCATTGTAATTTATTTTGATTCTTATATAAACTGACTTCTTCTTTTACTGTTGTTCTTATGATGATATTCTAATGAATAGCGGGATATTCTAATGAATTTTGAACTTTTATTTATATTTTAAACAGATTTTTAGTCCCACTGTAGGTACTATATTTATGCAGAGTATATTAATCAAATCAAAGTATGTACCTACACATGACATAAGTATTAATATATTATATATGTATAAACAATGTCACATGTAACGATTTAAAATTATTTAATGTCAATTGGAGATGAATGAATTTATTTATTGGTCAATTAAATATTGCACGGCATACATATTGTTTTATTTGCATAATAACAGTTTGAAAAGATTTACCTCGTAAAGGAAATATGGATTGAACCCTAATACCTTTGGCCTATATTCAACGATAAACATAGTATTCTCATCATATCAGCCTTTATCCGTCCACTGCTAAACATAAGCCTCTCTCTTTGGGAGGTTTGCCGGTAGTTGCCATACTTGGCATGCGGATTGGCAACCGCAGTCAGGCTTTAAAGATGTTTTAAGAGGGACGCTGCTGCTCATCACTCGCCCTTCCTTAGTTCTTACGACACCCCCAGGAAAGGAAGGGGTGGCCTATTCTATGCCGAGACCACACGGCCATTCTGCTATGACTATTTTCTAAAAAAAACTAATTACGTATAACAAAGGAAAGAGCCAAATCAATAAAATCTTCATTCGACGATGACATCAAAACACACGCAGCTTTGGGTGAGCTCCTATTTTCGATTGTGGTTAGAGCTGTCTCATTAACGAGGGAAGGTTGTTAGTAATGGAGAGGTAAGTTTCCATTGCTAGCAAAAAGTATACCCTGTCAGGTCTATCTCCACGTGGTTCACGTTGGAAACTATCGTAGTTAATTCCGAGTAAATTCGCTACGATGGACCAACTGACCTGAAGGCCTATCATGAAATATTTTCCGAAATTTCGGGGACGAACGAAACAGAAATTTGTAGTTAAAATTACATAATATATGCCGTTTAAAATTATTAAAATATCGTTCCTCTGGACTATTAGGATAAGATCTGTGATGAACGTAATGTTAAGCTTCATTTACTGAATCGATATTGGTACGAACAAAAACACGAAATTGAGCCCGAAAATTCGGAATTTCATTTCATGGTAGACCATCTGATTTGATCCTTCACAGGTACCCCGGCAATTTACACTGTTATCTAAGACGGCTAGACCATTCTAAAAAAGACCTCCGTCACTGCACGTATTATTATTGTATTATTAACATTTCTGTAACTGTCAATTTTCTGAAGTGACCTGTAATGGATCCTTAATTCCATCGTCACAATAATAATTCTATTCTAGTCTTTGTTATTCATATGTAAAATTTTATCCCGTATGCATGATGGGTGCGTTGATACTTGGTGGATGTGGCCCGCGTGCCAACAATGGGAAGATGGACCGATAAACTGGGCATACGTGTTCTGAGTGACGCTATGCATTGCTCGTTTCAATACGCTTGCTTACTAACTGAAGTATAGAAGTATTATTTTATTTTTATTTTAATAGGGAAACATACAATACCTAAAACATATAAATAATAAACATAGCCATATTATGAAGCAGTGAAGTTTCCACAAAAATAAACATAAACAAAATCAAATAAACGAGAGCAGATTTATTAATATAATAAATAAATTTGTATAATTTGTATATTAATAAGTAATAAATTTGTGTAAAAATATGTATAATAATAAATAAATAATAATTACAATGAATAAAAAGAAAAAATTTTAACAATAATAATCAACAATTTTTAAATAATTTTATGATGAATTCTTTAGAACAATAATTCACCTTCCGATCGCTTGACTTTTTGTTGGCGTGTTCCTAATGCCCGACTCAAATCGGCCACTTTATACTGTACTCGTTTTTTAAATATTCCTGACTAAACAACTAGTGGCAAATAATTATGAAATATTGTATACCTACCTCCTTTATTCATAAAAAAATAGAAATTCCTACAAACCCCTTTTTTGCTATTGTAATGTTTTGTCAAAAAGTATTTTCAACAAATTATAGCTAGCGTTACTCGGGATGTTCTAAGGATCATACCTACTTTCAAATCTGTTCAAACATTTAGAAATTACGGTAAAATTAGGAACAATTTGTATATACCCGCATAAACCCTAAAACATTACACTTCTTTTTTTGTGTAGTTGTGTAATTAGATGTTTGCAAATAAAAATTGTGAATAAACACTTATAAAGATTGGATTAGTTGAAAAATGAATACAAAGTATAAATAAATTTTCCACCGATATTTTAGTCAAAATTGTTTATTTACGTCTGAGCCACCAAGTATATGGAAATATTGGATTGTTACAATGTTATCACTTTTCTCTTCCCGATAAAGTGGTAGATCGATGCGTGTGTTGGTGTTGACGCGATGGTGTGGCACAGACTTAGATATATGTAGATGACGCAATTTTATGTAGTTCGCATATAAATTTATTGATATAAAAAGATAAGGTCATAAGAACTTACTTGGCTTTGATTACATTTCTATTAGGAATTTTTACAAGATAAAAAAAAATATTGATGTAAAATAATATTACAGCCCTCTTAAAAAAATAACAAACGAGTCTACCCAGAGATAATATTTTACTTTCCTATGTATGAAATAGAAAATAGCAGCAATTTGTTGTTTCTGATGTAAATAGCAACCAAATGTACCTGTCCTTTTACTATTTCTCTAGAGTTACTTGTAATGATTTAAAAAAAATATATTTTAAGTTACAGTATCTAATGAACTGTGCAAACGAGGGATATTTTATCCACAAAAAAATCGCTCGATATTTGTTTCGTCTTCTCGAGTTTTTAAACCAAATACAATCCTCAGTGTAAATTTTAGCCTGATCATATAAAGCTTTCAAAATTGCATGCTGCAAATATGAGTAGCGATTTCTTTAAAGGCGGGAAATGCACCGGTAACACATAATATCATGATGTAAGTATTCATGGGCAACATTAGCCAGTTTTTATCAGGTGGGCCATAAACTCATTTGTATCCCTAATAATTAGAAAAAAAATATGGCATGCTTAATTTCAAAATAATTGAGGCAGGTACTACTTGCGTCGTCTATCTCTATGTATGTCTGTATACGCCGTGCGGTGCTGCGGGCACGTCGTAATGATGCGGTCGGCGTAATAGCAACGTAAAGTCGTTCACCCCGCTTTACACTATCTGCCACCACTTTCAGTTAACATTAAACATCATTGTGGGTTTATGACAGAGGATATCAAAGCGTGGTAGTTACTATACGTATCGATATTATGATGCGAACATGTAAATTTGTAAGTCTCTCTTATAAGTACACAAGCGGCCTGTCCCGGCGTCGCACAGGTGGACATTTTTACATTTTAAAAAGCGACGGAAACTTAAAAATGGAGTAACTTCTCCCGTTTTCCCAACATTTCCCTTCACTGCTCTGCTCCTATTGATCGTAGCGTGATGAAAAGTATACATACTATAACCTGCCCAGAAGTATGAAGAATAATTGTACCAAGTTTCGTTAAAATCCGTCGAATAGTTTTTGTTTCTATAACGAACATACAGACAGACAGATAGACAAAAATTTTACTGATTGCATTTTTGGCATCAGTATCGATCACTAATCACCCCCTGATAGTTATTTTGGAAATATATTTCATGTATAGAATTGACCTCTCTACAGATTTATTATAAGTATAGATAAGGTTCAATATCTTATAATCCAAATTCCATAACTTGTTTTATGTAATCTAATTATTATTTTCTATTTTTTTACAGTATTTAAAATGGCATACAAAGTGACGGACCACCTGGTGAAAAGTGGTAACCATCGTCTATAGACATGAAAAGCATCGTGGACATAGAATAATAGAATACACTTAATAAAAAAAATAAGACTCTAAATGAATGCTTCATGCATTCACGAATACGTATAACAGCTATTTTGATTGTAAAGATAAGAGATAACAATAATAGGTCAGTACAATTTGAAATTTAGTGTACATTTTTATTTCGATGGATGGTAATGGTATGGTAACCCCTGCCTGCGCAGGCAATTATATTTCGGCCCATCGTGACCTGACAAGCCACGTTGCTCTTAAGGGGTACCTAGTTCCCATTACTAATAACCCTTATAGCCCCTTTAGTGTATGCCAGTCCTCAGGAATGGCAACGCATGGGGGGTATCATGGGCGAAACAATATACTCTGTTATGTCCATGGTACTGCTCATTTCTATAGGCGACGGTTACCACTTTACATCAGGTGGGCCATTAGCTTGTTTGGCATTCTAAGTTGTATAAAAAAAAAAAAATATGTGGCTAATAGAATCCAGGTATTAAATATAACAAGGTACCTATAATACCTACTTATAAACAACTGGTAAAGAATCTAACTTTATAAGAGTAGGATATATTATTGTTATATATTAGACAGACATATATTATCGTTCCCTCCAAAAGATTACAGGAGAAGCAGAAACAATAATAATCCTCCTTTTAGCTGGTTCGCTGTAGTTGGATAAAAATTACACGAAATAGATCACACAGTGAAAACAATGGATTGTCTTATCGCTTAAAGCAATCTCCTCCAAGTAACCTATGGATGGAGAGGAGTAATTATTAACACTTATCAACGGTTCGGTCGAAGGCACGAATAAAATTCTATTACACGAATAAAATATATATGGCGGCTTGGTAAAACGGCGGCAGTTTAAAAAAATAAAAAAAAAACACTATTTTATTAATTTGAATTTATATATTCTGTAACCATGTTATTTATAACAGATACATTCCATAAGAGATTAAAAATTTGATTCTAGTTTTTATCAAGATTTCCATTACTGGATTCGATTACTGTGCAATATATGCAGGAGAGACATAGATATAGAGAGGTCAAAGTTCTCAGATAGTATCTTGGCTAGTACTGTATCGGCTTGGCGCTTTCTCTATACTCGTACACTGCAGATGGTAATACATCGTACACTACGCAAGGTATCAATCCTTGCCTCTTTACCAAAATCGTAGCAAAAAGTTGAATCTTTTGAGAAATTCATTAAAAAAAATATGTTACTTATTATTTATTGGATATTAATTTGATTATTTTAACAATGTTGGACGAATAGATAGATGGTTGCGGATTTAATCTACATACAATCACAATACAATCATTATGTATGACTTCATGATTAATTTTTGTATTAGTCTGGGCATAGTCTACGCCATACCATATCAATCGTTAACTGTCCACTGTTGAACATAGGCCTCC